GAGCGTCCCGAAGAAAGAACCGGCTTGTTTGCCTCGCCCGCCGCGGCTCACGACGCGCGGCACGGCACTCCTGATGGCGACTGCAATTGCAGCCGCAACTGTCGGCGAGGCAGCCGTCGCATCGGGCTCTGCAGCGACAATGAGGCGGCGGGCAGGATTGGAATCCGGACGCCGACGCGTCGACGGCCACCAGCGAGCACGAGCTCATGCATGAGCCATTGCTCGGTCGAGACGATCCGCTCAGCCACTGGGGCTCGCTTCCGGAGCCAGTTGGAAGGACTCGTCGAGTCGGCGTGCATCGTCATGCGTGCTTCGCAGAGGGCGAGCGGCGATGCATGACGGGCGGTGCGGTTTCTGAAAAGAACAAAAAGGGGGGGTTCCTTCCTGCCATTGCGTTGGGCGGGCGGCGCCCACCCTTGCCGCCTTTTTATGCACGCACAAAGGGTGCGTTCATGTCATGTTATGCGCAGAGGTTGGGACGTGGACTCGCGCGGCTGGCGACGGACCAACTAGGTGGTGTCCAAGCCCGCTGGATAGAAACTTGGAGGGATTGTTTGCTCCTCGACAAGAAGAATCCCCCGGGCTACGGACTACGTGCACACTTCTGCACGGCGCGTGGTCCGTCGGTCGCCGCCAGACGAGAGAGTGAGGCTGCTTCGTCTCGGACGTGGCTTGCGAGTCGACGTGTTGCATGCACCCGAGGCAGAGCCGTGCTCTGGCTCGTCTTCCCATTCGCTCAGCACGTGGTGCTGGTGCTGGTGCTGGTGCTGGACACGGCTGTACAACATGACATGCCGAGCGTGTGCGGAGGGAGTGCTCGAGTGTCCATGAACAATCAAGGAGGAGACGCTCGAATCGACACGCGGCGTCGCCTGCTTGTTCTCTCCATTTCCACCGTCTGTTCCAGAACCTCTGCCCTGCTCTCCCGTCTCCCTTGCGTCGGGGATGGTGTGGGATCCCGCCGCGTGCCTGGGAGCGGCGTGTAGTGTGCTCGTGCATCCGTATCCGTGTACTCGCGTGACACGCGTGTCCGACGAGCTTTTCCCGACAACAGGTCACGCATTCTCGAGGCTGCCTTGCTGGCCTGCAGGGTATTTCGCCGCGCCGCAATCGACCCTTGGTCGGTGGTGGCCATGGACGTGGCGACGGCGACGGTGACGGCGACGGCTACGGTCCCGACGGACGCCGTCCCATCTCCGAGACGGACTGTTTTGTGCTTGTCTGGCGTGCGTTTGGGGTCTGGCTAGCTACTAACTAGTACGGGGTGCTCCGTCACGGTGCCGGCCTGCCTTTCGCGTTGGACGTGGACGGGTCCTCCGTACGCGGGAGACGGCGTGTGCGCTTTAAATTGCAGGGCCTGCCACGGAGCACGTTGTTGATGCTGACTGCTGACTGCTGACTGCTGACTGACGCTGGTGTTGATGCGTCATGCGCGCGCCGTCTCGCCAACACGTCGCGGATACGGCGGCTGGTGCGTACGTGATCGGCGCCGCCGTCGAGAGCAGAGACGACGCGGCATGTCATCTCCGCATGGCACAGGGTGGTTGATGGACGCGGCGGCTGCAGGATTTATTTTATTTTATTTTAGTATATTTATTTATTTTTTTCAAGAACAAAACAACTGTTTGTTGTTGCCTCTTTGGAGTGATCGGGGCCGGGTATTCTCGTGATTTCTTTTTGATCCTCTCTCTTCGGCAGAAGAACACAATATCATCGTGAATACTCCGTAATCAAAATCTCGTATCCATCAAGCCATGTCTCATACTCTGGCGCCCTCCCAACCTTCCCAACCCCCCCCCGCGTGGCTCGGCACAATGTCTGGTACTACGTCCGTACTTGACTTGACGCTGGCTTCAAAACCCGCGAGCTGGCGCTACAGATTTCGGCCCCGTCTCGCCCAAGTTCGCACGGACCAATCTCCTCGTTGCCTTGGTTGTGCGCACGTACGGAGCAGCTCTGCACGGTGCGCGCTGGATGCGGTGCCACCGACGCCAGGGCTGGCCCAGGGAAATACGGGACCTCGTGCAATGTCGTGGGACTCGGTGCTCTGCCTGTACGACGAGACCACTTTTTGTTTGCTGCTGGCCGCCTTGGTAAGCGGGCTGGCCCGTCTGCCGGGGAACCGATGCCATGGTCGGGAAAGCTGACGACGAGACGAGCGTGGCGGGAGACTGCAGTCTGGCGGCGCGCGTGGCTACGGCAACTCGTCGTATTACGCTTCGTGCCTTGGGTTGCTGGCGAGGAGCGCAATCCGTCCCTGCGAGGCACGTAGCTGGACGCCCGCGCGTCGTGTAATGTGCGATCCATGCGCCTCAGGCTCTCCAGAGGGACGGACGGACGGACGTGGTGGCATGATGAATGGCACCGGCCGGTCCTCGTGTACGGCTTCTGTGTGCGACGAACGAACTGGGTGCGTGTGCTCCGTGACATGCGCTTTTCGACAGGAACGCCGGCCTGCTGCTACATGGCGAGTGACGAGGGCGACAGCACGAGCAGGCTGGAGCCACGAGTGGTCAAGGCTGCCGAGAACCATCATCTTCCCCTGTGCCTTTTTGGGCACGCAAGCTGACTGACTGACTGACGCCGCCGTCCGCCCTGGGCCTTGGCAATGGGCACGTTGTACAAGACTCCGCTGTCTGAACCCATCACGTCTCACGGGGATCATGTCAAATGACGGCGAGCCATAGTCTGAGGCATACGCCGCGAGTCTGTTGGCGGATGCTGGCGTGGGTTGATTTGTGCACACGTCCAAAGGGCTTTCGTCGTGGAACAGACGTGTTGGCCTCGTCGTGGACTACATGTCTCGCTCAAGGGTAGTTGGATTTGTGGTCATGTTGAAGTTGACCCTCTCGGCGGGTTGCAGTTCTGCAAACTGCTTTTGCAAGAGAAAGAAACAAGAGAGGGAAGAGGAGGACGCGGCGGAGGAGGAGAACAAATACTCAATTTCAGACGTTGTCTCTCAGACAGCTTCGTCATTTCCGTCAGTCCACGCCAGTCACGGCATCTCAGCCGCCGTCATGTCCTGTTATCCAGGGCAACGGATGGGCCACCAGTGACGAGGAAAACCCCGTCTACAATAAGAATGCCTTGTAAGCGCGCGGATCATTGCAACTGCGGCAATGACTACCGACCCTCTGCCGTTGGCCGGTTGCGCCTAGTAGTGGTCGGTTGGTTGAAGAACAGAAGGTATATTGCGAGGCAAGCCAAGGCAAACACACACACACACAAAAGAAAAAGGCCGCACCCGAGGTTGGAGCTTTTTACCTTTTCCCTTTTCCATTGTTCGATAGATGCGTGTCTCGGTCCCAGTTCGTCTGATTGGAAGCTCAAGCCCGTGTCAGCAGGCAATCACACTTGCAAGTTGCGTCTGACGCTCCAGTCCCAGAATCGCGTCGAGGCCACTTACTTTGTTGCTCTAAGCATCGTCATCGTCACCGATGCCACACCCTCCATTCCAAAGAATCACGCTCTGGACCCATGGGTGGGATGCAGATAGGCTTTGCACGCCTGGGATGCCTGATGGTTTGCCAAGGAACCTACCTACCTTCCTTTTTGGGAAGCAATATTGTATGTCTGAAACGCGCTAGTAAAGTCATGCTTCGATGATTTCCGACTGCTCGCGAAAGCTTCACCTCGCGAGGGAGAAGGAAAAAAAAAACCTGCGAGATGCGGCCCAGTGGGAAGAAAAAGAGAGAGTCGTGGGCCGAGTTGAGCCTGCGCGTTTCCCGTCTGGCCACACAGTCATCCCGCCTGGTGTATGTACATGCATACATACATGCATACAAAAGCTGACCTTGTAGACGCCAATATAGCATAAATTCAGACAAATCATCACCCATCACGAGTCTTCTGGTCGAGACCAGGCACGGGCACGTTGCTCATCTGCCAATCGACAGCATCTGCGAGGAGCGAGCAGCCGAAACCCCAAAGCGCGCGGCGAACCGGCGCTCTATATAGTCTCGTCATTCTGCCAAAGTCTCGTCTCGTCTACCAGAGCGTGACGGTCTGTTCTCGTAAACAACCCGGCCAGCAGATAGAAAATGACACTCCTTGTCTGCGTGTGTCGGTCAGCCGGTCGGCCGTCTTCACTGTCTCTCGACGTACGTCCATAGAGACATGGCAAGTCAGGGAGGATGTTTACTTTCTCCAGACTGCTTTGTTCGCCAGTCCGTCGAGGCCGACTTGATCTTCCGGCTGTGTCGTGGCTGGCTGATTCTGCGTTGTTGAGGGTTGATAATGTGCCGAGCACTGAAAAAAAAAAAAAAAAAAAAGGCTTCTTGACGTTAATTCTGAGCATCACGCCCTGACGGTATCGAATGACTGCCCCATTTGTTCCGCTTATTTCGGTGCCCGCAGACCACGAATTCACCTTGGACGCCTTGGACTATTGTATCAAGGCCCCCTTTACGCTGGCAACCTTTGCAACCGTCAGTCATGTCTAATGCTGTCTCCGCCGTGCCGGCCAGACTTCCCCATTGCAGATATGCTCTCTACCACGAACAACATGGCGCGTGAAAGCGCACTTTGTTCATCATCAGAGCACATCTCCAGCGACGAGACAAGAGGGAAAAAAATGTGGCACCGGAGGATTTCAACGTGCGCATGCAGAGCCGGGAAAGATGACCATCCTCTCGCAGCGTCATCCAGAGGTTCCGCATCCACCATCTATAAATGCTTCGCAAACGTCGGTCCCGCCCGTCTCAGGTGGACAAAGATTTCGGGTTTCTGACACGGCGCATGTCATATTAGATAGGTGCCTCAATTCTAATGTCTGGGGTTGGCGTGTGTATACTTCTTCGCAGTCGACCGCCCATGTCCGTCCCACCCAACAACGCCTGCAAGCTGGACTGAAAAACCTTAACCATCGCATCTCCGGTATCCATGCCATTGGCGAATATTTCATCCTAGCATGGTATCTGGAAGCCCTGTGGACTGTAACCCGTACTCTACGCCGCGTCTTCATGTGACCCTTTGCCGCGGGCGATAACCAAGGTCGCCACCTAGGCACTTGCCTCTGCCTTGATACTCGACGCATCTTCTGATTCCTTACTTTCCTTTTCCGCTTCTGAACCCGCTGGGGCATTTTCTTCTACTACCGGATCGGCGGCCTCTAATCTGGTAGCTTCTTCCGCGGCCTCGGCCGAGGCCTCCTCTAGCACCACGTCTTGCGAATCACAGTTGTCCTCTTTGACCTTCTTGGCCGGCTCGCTTTCTAGTTCATGCTCTGCCTCGCGTTTTGTGCCCGCGCTTTCGGTGCTTGACGTGCTGCCTGCGTCGTCGTCCCTGGACCTGGTATATTGCTGGCCGTGCTCGTAGTCATCGTCTTGCTTTCGACCGACGGCGGCTTCCACGTCGATTCCCTGCATCAAGACGCCGTCTTCCCCTATGTAGCTGGTCGTCACTCCCTGCGGGCCCGTGTCACCCACGCCAATCTCTTCTGGCCCGCGTGCGTGGGGTACGCCGTCCTCTTCAGTGTCCATGTCCTTGTTGTCTTCGTTCAATGACTCTTGGTTTCTATTCAATTGACTGACGGGGACGACACCGGCACGCTGTTCCTGGCGGAGGAGTTCGCCCTGCGTGACGCCGCGCGCGTGTCCTGTGGACGGGATGCCGTTGACACTGACTGAGACGGTTTCGATCCTGCCCATGCCGTTTGGCCCCTCGATTGTTTCTGTGCTCTCGCTGTGGATCTGTGCTCCTGCCGATGCGGGTGCGTCTCCGTTGCCCTCGGGACTCCGTCTCGTCAGCCACGGGATAGGAGTCAGCAGGGCGCCTCCCAGAGCCTCGTCTGTTCCCAGCGTCGCGACCGCGGGGTTGCTCCACGATACGGACGAAGCAGGATCTTTCTCGTCGCCGTTTAACCCCATGGTCGACATGTCCGGAATGGCTGGCGGCAGCGGGTATACGTTGGTACTGGAGGTAACTCGGGCTACTCGGTCGACGGCATGCAGATACGACGTCAGAGCCCTGTAGTGCGCCCTGGGTTCCAATATGAGTTCCCCCAGCCGCTGGATCGTGTGCGGCGCATGATCCGCGAACGTCTCGAGGTGCGTCTTGATGTCGCCCAACGCGTCAAGGACCTGTTTTGGCAGCTCACCCGGGGCGAGCGAGCTTGGATCGGCTGGTTTGTAGGCAGCGTTGTTCTCCTTGTCCGCCTCGTGAGACGCGGTGTGTTCTGTTGGTGATGAGGGTACCGGCGAGAGCAGGCTGTTATCTAGTGTCGGGGGTGCAGGGGTCGGTGGCGGAAGGTTTGGTATGGGGAAATCATTGCGCACAATCTACATCGGCGTCAGCCCAGGTTCTGGATGTATATTTTCATGGCAGCTGAGCGGACGGTACCTTGTTTAGTCGCGCGATGATGTCGGCGCGGACGGTTGGCCATGTGCCTCTGTTCCAGTCCATTAGCATCCAAAGCGGTGCAAACAAGCCGAAATGAGCAGGCGCGAGCGCATGAAGACATACTCTTCGACTGAACCGCCTGCTGCGATCTTTCTCAAAGTTTCACTTCCACTGTCCACCTCCATGATGAAGTGGTGCGTGGGGGTATCTCGAATATCTCGAACAAAGCTTGCAGCAATGCTTGGGTGCTGTCGTTGGAGGAGGTGCCGTAGTTCATTGGCAAAAAGTGGGATGGCACTGCTGACTAAGCCGTACTGCGGGCCAGGCGCGTCGCCCCAGGACCAATGAGGCTTTCTCTTTCTTCAACCAACACTGCGGGTCGTTTGTCACGCCCGACTTTCGATATGACCTACATCTGAGCGACATTTGAGAGAAGTGTAGTTATTCACGCACACCTTGTCCTACACTTGGTCATACTGGCCAACCGCTTTGGTTGATGTGGAGGACTTAGTACACTGCCCTTGATTACTTCGGACACTCTCATCCATAAACAAGGAGGAGGAACACTAGGGTCGGCGGATCTATTTTACTCTGCGATTCAGTGTAGGATGTCGAAAACTGAGTGCTTAAATGGCAGCGTGAGCAGGCTATGTGCCAGTCGCAACTTCACTTATGATGATGGAGGCGAACCCATGAAATTTCACCACACAGGGAGACTGAAGCTGCAGCTGTTGTTATGCCAAGATTTCAAGTCAGAGTCACGGGAAGCAAAACGTCTTGGTAAAAAAGTCAATTTGTCACCAGACAAGAGCTACATGGCAAGACAGATTCGGGCACGACGCCTCAGTTGGTATTAGTATTAACATGCTGTGATGTCTTAATCAGCTGCATGGCCATGCATCCACAGGCGATCAAAAACATATCTTTGCTTTTCTTACAAAATATGTACGTACGTATGTATGTCGATCTCCAGTCTCAAACAAGCAAGGCGCGCCCTCAAATCAAGCGAGGTACGGAGCACATTGCAGGCTTGACTCTCGCAGGGATGCTGGGGCCGTTAATTTTCTGCAGAGACAGGGATGACGAAGGTCGTAATGGGCCATTCGCTGGGTTGGCCCAAGGGAGCGGAGGCATAATTCTTTATTCGCCCCGTTTGCGAGTAGTACTATGTATTTTCCTTGTTTCCATGCACGCTTTGCCTCTTGCTGGGACTTGGAACATTATACACTATGCGGAACTAGTAGTTGCATGAAAGATGTAATTTGGCCAGCCGTATTTTTGTAGTCGCCGCCATTGTGAGTTACCTGTTTTGATACCGTTGTAGTGGTTATAGTGCCGAGTAAGATCAACATGGGCGAACAGAGACGCCAAAAACACACGTCCTAGTGCATGATACGGGCACACTAGCTTGCTTGGTCTTGATGAAACCGTGTTTAGCGTGTTCGCCTCGAGCCAACGACCAAAGCACAGGAAGAAGAGGGACCCGAACAATGTTGCGCTGTTGTCTGGCTTGTGATGACGGTAATAGCCTTGTCGTCCCTTTGATACGAGGGCTGATCGTCGGACGTCTTGCTGCAATTTGGCCGTCAGTACATAGTTTATTTAGCGCAGCGCCAGCGTCCAATTGGTCTAGGTGACTGGAAATTTGCGTAGGCTTGGTGTTGCCATGTCTTGCATCCGGACGGTAACAGTATCCTTCAACAAGTGCTCCGTACTTTGGTGGTAGATGGTGGTAGTAGTCAATACACAACATTGTGCATGAAACATTGCGAATGGGAGCATTCCTCCGCGAGAGTGCCATGAAGATAGTCTCACTCATTAATGAAGCCCTAGCATGACTGCATCTGGCGGTCAGTTTTGGCTGACGAGATGTCCGAGCGCCTGTCCCTTGCACCACGGATTGTCAAGCCGCCAAGGGCCACCATGGTACTCCGTACTACTAGTCGATAATATTAGTAGTCATGTAGTCATGTACCTTGCCTTGGCGCTGTATGAAGGCACGGAATCGTGTTGGCAGCCCTGAAATAACAGCCAGCAGTGTCGAGCCACGCCATGTTCGAGTCGCAAGCTGCATGTGGCGGGAGAACTGTGACCATCAATCAGCCCGCAACGGTTCGTGTCTCGTCACCTTTCAGCAAGCACAGAGAGTGAGCGATACCCTTGTGCTTGTGGAAGGGAGACAGACAAACCACTCCGGCTCGAATTTGCCAAGTATGTTACTACTCACGACCACCTTGGTTGAGGACAGTAAATGGAGCAACTGGCCGCATGAAGCATGAAACGCCACGGCGGCTCAACTCGGCCACGCCGTCGGCGGCGGCGAGGTCCCCATCATTCAGGGCTTGGAAATGACGGCGCGCAGACGATGGAAATACCCGGTGGGAGGAGAAGAAGCTCTTTGGACCGAAGTCGTCGACCCGTCGTGGTCTGGATAAATTCGAGGTTGCCGACTACGTACCTGAACCGTGAGTCGTGACTTCACGCCCAGTGCGTCAATCAAGTACCATTCATTGGTGCCTGAGGCCTCCGATGGTTGCACGCGTGGCTTTCCGCGACACCTCGCAGTCGGGCGGTACCTGAACGTGCCGGACATGCCCGCCTCGTCATTCATGTTCCTGGCTTCGGTCCCACTCCAGAATCCAGAATATGGAGGGATGGGCCCAGGCAGCCTCCCGTCATCTCACGAATCTAACAATGCGCATGCTTGCACGCTTTGCACTGGCTAATGTCCCTCGAGCCATGCTCTCCGTATAGGCCTCCACAGCGAGGTTCCATCTCATTTGTGATCCAATCTCCTTCCCCGGGGGTCTCCCTTGGGCAGGCTGGCTCTGGCTCAAAATTAGACGCCTTCCTTCCTCCAAGTCTCTCTGCCTTGGTCGCTTCGGCTCCTTCTGCTCCTTCCGTCAGTGCTGCGCGTCCCAACGCTCCTGCCCCACGGAAAAGGCTGCGCCTGCCAGCTCCAGCATCAACTTTATTAACTTTCCACTTCCACTCGGCTCCAGCTCCAGCCTCACTTCCAGCTCTGGTAATTGCGCGTCCAGCTTTCGGGAGTAGAAAGCTGCTCAAAGTGAGGAATCATTGCCCTGGCCGTCACCTGGTGCTGCGCTGTGCTGTGCTGCGCTGTGCTGTGCTGCGCTGTGCTGTGCTGCGCTAAGCTTGCGCCGCCTGACTGCAAGAAACAAGAAACGCCGGTGATCCGACCGCGTTGACAAGCGACCGCGACGTACTGGTCCACCGAGTACGGGGTAACAAGACGACAGCTTTTTTAATCACGACCGCTACTCCGTACCCGCGTCCAGTTGAAGTGGATTGACTCGAGGCCCCGTTGAAAGCCGTTCGCCCGTGTCTGGCGGCGATCCACTTGTACCTGCAGTGCAGAGGCCACGATATTCACAATCCCAGCATCATCTCACACCGGCGACTCCGTGCGGAGGAGACAAAACGAATCCTCGGGCTCAGGCTCAGGACTCGGACGCCATTTTTATCCAGGCACAAGGTCGGCCGGCTGCCCGAGTACGAGTGGTGTGACTGAGGAGAGCATCCGCTGCCTCCCATATTGACATTGACGCCGCCCCGTCCAGTCGCCGTCCACCGACCATCCCACTGGTCCACTGGTCCTCTCGCCCACTACCCGTCACCCGCGAGTCGCCCGCGCGTCCTCCACTCAGGGGTTTCGTAACTTCGGGGCCTCGACGCTCCAGGACAAAACAACAAATCGCACCATAGCCCGCGACTTGACCGCCGAAACCATGAGATAACGGGGCCTGTATCATTGGCGCAACCACAGACCCAAATCTCCGGCGAGTCGAGTCTGTTCTTGTTTGTTTATTTTATTTTCGTGCCTCCCTCAGCAAGCTACTCTGCTGCCTTTTGTGGTTTGTTCTGTTTGATCCCGAAGCCGAGTCCCCCTTGTGCCTCGCGCGCGTCGACGCAACGCAACGCAACGCAACGCACCGCACCGCATCTCTGCACCGCGCAGCTGACGAACCAGCTGAACTTACCACGACGCCCAGGTTGGCTGTTGCGCCACTTGGTTGCGCTGCAACAAGGCGCTGTCGTCTGTGACTGCACCCTGAAACATAATTTTCGCGCCTTCGTCGATTGATCACCGCCAGGAGGGATTCTAAATACAACTTCATCGCCCTTGCATCCGCCCAAGGCGCCGCTACCGAGGCCAGTTGCTCTCCCAGCCTGATACTCAGTTGCACTTTGGAACATGTCGTCCGCAGCCCTACAATCTGGCCCCCAGCAACCAATCATCCTGCCTTCGCCTGCGGTGTCTTCTTCCAACCGTCAGTACGGCCCATCACACTCTTCCCCCGGCCGGGAGCCGTACGATGCTCATCGAACCGTAGCCTCATCACCTTCCTCTAGGCGTCCCTCTTCCCGCAAGACGAGTGGCGGCGGTGCCGGCGACTCTCTTCTTCCCGTTGACCAAACCGTGCCAAGATCGAGCCGACTTAATACTTCTGCGCCATTACAGGAGCAGTGTTCCTCCCGAGCTGAACATCTGGCCAATATGCCCCCAGTTGCTCCCCCTCGGACAACTTCGTTCACGCAGCAACCTGTGAGTGGCCGGCGAATTCACCATCCAAACGACGTGTCCGGTAGCTCTCCACGCCACAATCAGGTGGAAGGGCCACGGAGTGGCTCGCGTGGTGACACAAATGGCTACTCGGAAACCTCAAGGACCAAGCGGCCAGCTAATTCCCACCAGCCCCGAGACCAGCCTCGCTGTTCCAGCAACGCAGAGGAGAGAGCCGTGGAGATGGCAATACCCATTCGCGGCAACCCGGCATCAAGTTCGAACCCCATTCACGACCCTAATCATCACTCGATCCGTGTGATTCCCAACACCGAGGAGTCCAACGGCCAAGCAGACCACCACGCCTTGTCCCAAGATGATCAAGATGCCGCACAGCCACCTGCTGTGTCCATGAATACTTCGGCCGAAGAGCGACGTGGCGGCCGCAGCCGGCACGACCATAGTCGGAGCCACAAAGGAACTACCAAATTCGGAGACTTCATTTTAGGAAACACAATTGGCGAGGGTGAATTCGGTAAGGTGAAGCTGGGCTGGAAGCAAGACAGCAGCGTACAGGTATGAATTAGACGGGTTCACTACTATCTACCTTTCGATGCCTGAATCTGTAAGCTGACTTTGGATCTCTAGGTTGCCATCAAATTAATAAAGAGAGACACTGTTGGTGGAAACCCTTCACGACTGGGCAAAATCCGGCGAGAAGTCACAATCCTGCGAGGTGTGCGACATCCGAATATCGTACGATTAATAGACATGATAGAGACCGATAGATACATTGGAATCATCCTCGAGTATGCTTCCGGCGGTGAACTTTTTGATTACATTTTGAATCACCGATATCTGAAAGACCACTCAGCGCGCCGCTTATTCTCTCAACTAGTGTCTGGAGTAGGCTATCTGCACAAGAAGGGCATCGTTCACAGAGATTTGAAGTTGGAGAACCTGTTGTTGGACCGCAACCGAAACATTATCATTACCGATTTTGGCTTTGCCAACACTTTCGATCCCAACGAAGAGCTCACAGAGGAAGAAGAAGTCAAGCTGGGAGACAGGGATCACGTGAAAAGAATGGGTTTGGATAAAGTCAAACCCAACGGGATGAGAATAGGTGATCTCATGCAGACGAGTTGTGGAAGCCCCTGCTACGCCGCGCCCGAGCTCGTAGTCAGCGACTCTCTGTACACTGGCCGCAAAGTTGACGTGTGGAGTTGCGGTGTCATTTTGGTATGTATTCGTTCCCGCAGCTATGTCCTTGCCACCCCTCCCAATGTCGGTGGTACTAATTTGTTTCACAGTACGCCATGTTGGCAGGCTATTTACCCTTTGATGACGACCCCGCGAATCCCGAGGGCGACAACATCAACCTGCTGTACAAATATATTGTTTCTACCCCTCTCACATTCCCCGAATATGTCACACCACACGCACGAGATCTACTGCGTCGCATCCTGGTCCCCAATCCCCGAAAGCGAGCCGATTTATTCGAGGTGGCTCGTCATAGCTGGCTGAGCGAATATGCCCATGTTGTCGAGTTCATTACCAGCTCCACCACACTGCCCTCTGACATTCAGAACGCGACCACGTCTGCCCAGGAATTTGCCGACGCTCCGATGGTGACCAGGAGCGCCTCTGTACGCGAAGCACCGAAACACAAGCCTCCTTCTCAGGCTGGTGTTGGTGGGCTTGCCAAGGCACACGCAAAGATTGACCAAGAAGCGGAATCGGCCTACCGCACACCCAAGGATACCAAGCGCCGAACCGTTCAGGTCGAATACGTGGCCCCAACGACGCAAACACAACGTGGGAGAGATCCTGTAGTCTCGCGGCCGCCAGTATCGCTCAACCGGGACTACGAAGGCGTCCGCCCAAGTTCTTCCAGAGACAAAACTCTGCTCCGGGATTCTCTGGACGTACATGGCAGGTCATCACAATCTAGGCGACCACCAAGTGCTCATGCCACGACTTCAGCCCGTCCACGTGAGGTTCGTGCCGCGACGGATAACGCCTACATGCCTGGCGCTTCAGCTGTGGCCAGACCTCAGACGGGAGGTTCTATGCAATCGGCTGCGTCTATGAGTTTGCAAGCACGAGGAAACTACGGACAGCCTGCCCCACCAGCTGTAGCAGACACCAATGTTCAAGGTCGTATCCAGCAACCTTCGAACCCCGACGAGGACGACGCCATGGGCCGAACAAGCATGAGTGTGCCACCCAAGTTTGCTAGAATGTCTGGCTTCCACGAGGTACGAAGCAGTGAAAGCAGAGGCCATAAGAGATCAAGCACGATAGGAGAAATTGGTTCAAAGCTCCTAGGTCGTAGTACATCTGTATTCGGCGGCCGAAACAGGAAGAAGCCAGAACAGCAGCAACCCGAAAAGTCTAAAAAATACCCACCTGTGAGCATGACGAATGTTTTGGTGCAAGGAGAGGAGCAAACGGGCAGGCCGTCGATAGATTCCAAGATGTCTCGTCGGTCGTTCTCCTTGGGTCTGGGTAAGAAGAGGAGCGGTAGCATCGCAGGGTCCCAGGGCTCTGGTGACAAGAAGGAGAGACGGCGGTTCTCTCTACTACCGGCATCTTTCTCATTGAAATCTGTTGGCTTAGGCAAGGACTATTCAGAGCCGGCCTCATCGGAGGTTGGATCTTATACGGATTTGCCGCTTCAGTCAGGCCGACTGGATCCTCCAAGAAGCGTGACCGCCCCAGGAGATGCAAGAGGAAGTGCACCCTTCTTCGATAATGTGCAAGAGACGGACAGGTCTAGTCCTGTCCATCATCAACGATACGCCTCGACCCAACTGGACAATCGTCGATCCAACGCAATTCCTCAACACATGCAGTCCGGCTCCCACTTTACCAGCGGATCTGAAACGTCGGTAGAGATCCGTCGCCCACCTACGGAGCCGCAGATGAGATCCCAGAATCACGGCTTCCCCGACGCAGAGGGTTACGACAATAAGCGAGCCACCAGCAGCCGGGGCCAGCGAGGCGTCCTGCAAAAGAATCACAAACGATTCACAGACGCCTACGACCAAGACGATTTCAGGGGACATGAGGGAAGCAGTGGTGCCGCGAAGCGAGTCATGGACTTCTTTAGAAGACGAGGCAGGGCTCGAGGTGGCGATGAGAGGTGACGGAGAGGTGTGGATGTGAAAGGTGCTGTTGCATTGGATTGTCAGCAGTCGATGGAGACGACGAGCAAAAGACATTCCTATTCCTATCGTCGTGAGCAATTCTTCTGCCGCCAATTGATGCTTTCAACAGCGTCTGAATAATGCCCAGCGAGTCGCGGACACAGCAGAGGTCCATCTACAAACGCAGCGCGAGCAGTCGACTCTTGGCCGCCCCATGCAGCTGGGCTCAGACAGACTCAGCACGGGAAAGATGGATCTGGAGGACTTTTCCGAGGGAATGCCCTCAGCTCGTCTCGGCCCGCTGTGATTTGCGGCGTGTCGCGGGAGCAAGACATAGCGTTGCGAGGGTTTCTTTTCTTGCTCATAATGCCGGAAGGCTAGTTTGGTTTTGTGTTTTTGATTTCTTGTTGGTGGGCCGTTGGTCCCCTTGACACTTGGTCGTTTGCTGTCTTTCCTTGATTCTGTATCCCGCGCAGAATGATACCGCAATATTATGGCCGTTTCAAGCCTAGAGGGCCCAAATAATGGAAGACCAGATGTGGATGTACATTGGGGGAGTGTAGACTCGGGCTCAGCAAAGATTTAGCGGTGAACAAGTCGACAGCCTATGGGAGAAGGGACTGATTTTGTCGACAGGGACCCCCTGTGCGTGGTATACTCGATTGAGATTTGTATTTTTTTCCTTGTCCATTTATCTTTTGGGCATGGTTGGAGCGAGCAGCAACATGGTGCTTTGATTCAAGGCAAGTCGGGCGATGTGAGGAGGGTCGGCTTTTTTACCCATAGTACACAAGATGAAGTCTAGACGGAAATTGATGAGATGGGCTGAAAGTGAAAGAACGGGCGAACTAGCTCGTTCCAAGGGCCGTGCGGGCATCGCAACCCCTGCCGTGACTTGACGTGTTGGCCAAGGGTTTTCTGTCATGGCCACGTCACGGAATCGCCGTTACGACATCTGAGTGTGTGTGTCCCTGGGTCGGCTCGGGCACTTTGCCATGGAATGACTTGTACACTTTTGCAGCTTGACGTAGGATACATAACTCAATGGCAGCTGCATCATACCCAAAGCCTCTACTGGCTGGCTGCTTTTGAAGCGAGAGATTGTGCCCTTGCTCTGTGCTGCCGCCCATCACTATGACTGCCTGGTTTCGAGGCGAAAGCGGCCCGGACTACGTCAAGGGGTGGACTATAGTCTATGGGTGTTCGGTGACGATCAATTGCTCTTTATTGGACGCAACGTGCCCATGACGTGTTGCGTTTTCTATTCACTTCCCCTGTACTACTCTGCAACCATGGATTAGCTGTCACCGAGCCACCGGGGAAGCGAGGGTCAATGGTTACACTGTGCCAGTTGAGCTCCGTACTCCGTACTCCGTACTTGGCCGACCCTCGAATGGTCAGGGGTGCTCGAGTGCCGAGACATGACATGACGCCAGACAAGCGGCCATGCGTCCAAGCCTTGGCCGGAGAATAATAACTGCGTCTCACGAGAGGTCGGAGTGCTGAGCCACGAGGTCGTCGCCTACCGCCTTGGCCGCCCACATGCAATGGCAGGACCGTCGAGGGCTGCATCAAGGATTGATTGATGGCTGGCGGGAGCTTGTTTCTCTCGCTGGTCCGCACATCCGGCAATAAGCTTGATCTGGCCGTGGACCTGCGCCACACACTAAGCTGGGTCATGTCCGTACTGAAAGCACACCATGTGCCGAACCCCTGTGCAGGCGGTGCCAGTACGTCGGCGACGGCAACGAGGGTCGGATCGCTCACGAGGCCGTGTGCGAGCGAGTATTACATTCCAGCCTCGAAGATGGATGATGGAGTCCCCGGATGATGTCTGGCGTCGAGAAACGAAGACGCTTGTTGTCGGCCCGGGCAATGGCTTTCCATGCACACGTATGCTTATACTTCCAGAGGCCGTCGCCGGGCGGCCAGAGCAACTCCTTTGCCCTGCGGGCAGCAGGAAAGGGGGCAGGCGATGTCTGCCTGACCAGTGCTGCATCGTACCGCAAGCATGACACGCTCTCGGCCACGCTGTGACTCGACCGTGTCGGAGCTGGTGAGACGACTGGAATTCATGGCGCACGGTCGCTCCGACCACGGCACAAAGCTTCCGAGATGGTTCAGTACATTGTGGCATTTTCTTTTACCTTAGTTTTCTCTTCTTCTTGCCTTGAAAAACGAAACTCACTTGTTGGGGTTGGATGCGGGATTCGACATGTTGGCGAGTGTTGTGAAAAGGCCCCGTCTCGACCTTTTGCCGATGCAGGAACGAGACGGGCGGCCAAGGGGAGCCACATCCCCTCGGCCGAGACCCGAGTTGCCGAGCAAGCAGACGGGAGAAATGGGCAACTGAAGCACTAGTGCTCCGTGTGGGTGGGCATGGCGATGAAAGACGTTCAAGATGTCTTGTGTGGTCTCTGCGGGGGGGTGATTGGAGTCTTGCCTAGTGCGTGGCGTGTGGCACTGTGGCAGGAAGGCAGGGCAAGGGAGGAATGGAGATGGAATCATCAATATCGAGATGGAAGCCCCCAAGGCCGAGAAATGACGTAGGGACGTTCAGGACCGCACGGAGTGGTGGTTGAGCGACTGGGGAGAAAGTCACGGAGCGAAGGCGAGAAATTACGTCCCGAGCAGGCAATGACTTGGCACAGGAGGAGGTTGCAATCATGTGCTCCGTAGCTCTGGACTCCGAGGTAGGTACCTAGGTAGGTACCTACCTACCAAGGTACCTAGGTAGTTTACCTAAAGTACTTAAGTAAGTACTAGGTAGGTACTTGCTTATCGAGGTCACATACATGCACAACCGGCCGCGGGCGGGTCACAGTGGACTTAGAAAGTACTTAAAGTAAGCGCCTAGGTACTAAGTAGGTACTTGCCTATCGCAAGGGGTTGACGCAGCAAGGAACCTACTGCTTTAACCCAGCATACAGGGAATGGGCAAGCAGACACGAATTAACTTTGGTACACAAAGTACCCACGTCGGTAAACAGGCGCACACGTACTCCAAGTACTCAAGTACTGCCCCGACCGAGCCCCCCGCGCAGCCAGTTGTGCAGGACATAAACCCTGTCATCCTGCTCCCTCTCGTCATAGATCACAGATCAAGATTCAGTCCTCCGGGTGTGGTGTGCCTTGCCGAGTACAAATAGATAGACAAAGTGTCCGTGCTACGCAATTGCCCGTGACTCTTCCCCCGCCAGCCAGGCAGATGCCGTGAAACAACAAAACACAGAGACCCAAGCAAAAACCTGGCAACGACATGGATCATGGTTGATCGCCCGAGATGAACTGCCGCCCGCGTTCCACCAGCAAGCCTCGAGACTGCCCGGTTAACAAACAACTCTGGATCGATGGAGTCGACGGGGTCTGTCTGGTGGCGTTGATGGGCTCAGCTTCTCTCTGACGGCTACAACTGCCACCTAACTTACCAAGGCAGTCCATGCTAGCCATTAATTGATTTGTACGCGCTCCGTAGTCGCCCCTCTTAAATACTGGTGTAGCTGAGTCGTTGCCGGTAACGTTCAGCCTTGACCATCCCACCATGCCATGGACGTTGACGCTCTTCTCCGTGCTCCGTCCGTCGTCCGTCCCTCCGGCTCTTTCCCACATCGTAAGTTGGTAGCATCAGTGGCGCAGCTTCCCTGCCCGAGACTCTCGCGCTCCCTCTCTCGCCCACGGGACTAGAGTTCAGGACAGCGGACAGTGAGTCCATCGCCCATAAAAGGGCCAGGCATCCTCCCCTCCCCTGTCTGTCTCCGAGGTTGCTTTGCTTTTACTTCAGTCTTGCTCCGCTGTCTTCTTCTTCTGCTTCTGCTTCTTCTTCTTCTTCTTGGCTTCTCGTCTCCCCCACCCCATCGATCCGGTTTGCGTCTTCATTCTTCTTTTGCAACGCCGGGCCCGATAATTCTCTCCTCAGCCGACTTCCTACTCTGTCGTTTACTTGACGCCCCTGCATCTCGACCTCTGGAAGCGCTATTCGTGCTGCCAACACCTGTTCGATGACACAATCGTCTTCTGATCCCCCTGATATAGATAACAACGGCCCTGGCGCACCAGCAAAAGCCCATGGAGTGTTTGATGATTTGCCCAATCGACAGCACACCACCGCCACCGACGCCAATTCTCCCCCCCTAGTCGCATCGTCCTCCATCGCCAAGGCTAGTGAACCGACCACGGCCCCCCCCGGGCACAGCCAAAACAATGGCAACTCCTCTTGCCACCTTGGCAACCCCTTGGCCTTCCGTGAAAAGGCTCAGCCTCCCGAGTCGGATGCCAGCTACTTCGGACCCTCCGCTAAGAACATTGCGCCTGCTACATCTACGCAAGCTGATGCGGAGGGGTCCGTCGTAGAGCCCGAACAAGGTCGTATTGACCTGGATACTACGAACAAATCACAGTCCGTCGACAGTAATACTGGTGATGATGGTACCCCAACGAGGCGGAAGCGAACCTTTGTCCAAGAGCTTCGTAGATCCTTCTGGCTCGTTGCTTCATACAGCTGGCTCAACATTTTGTTGGTCTTTGTCCCCGTTGGGATTGTCGTTGCCAACATCCATGGTGTCCACGGCGGCATTGTCTTTGCCATGAACTGTATTGCCGTCATCCCTCTTGCAGGACTACTGAGCCACGCTACCGAATCTGTTGCCAGTAACATGGGCGACTCTCTTGGCGCTTTGCTCAACGTGACCTTTGGCAATGCTGTCGAGCTCATTATTTTTATTATTGCCCTGGTAAAGAACCAGATTCGCATTGTGCAGGCGTCTCTTCTCGGCTCCATCTTGGCGAACCTGCTTCTCATACTCGGCATGGGCTTTTTCCTCGGCGGTCTGCGCTTTCGCGAACAGGTCCGTTTCGCTGCATGAATCTCCTTCTGTCCACACCCGGTCGTCGACTGATCAACAGTTTTTTACAGATCTACAACAGTACTGTCACGCAAATGAGCGCCTGTCTTCTGAGTCTCAGCGTTATTAGCCTGGTGCTCCCTGTCAGTATCTGCTCGTACGCATGGAGGGTCGCAGAACCAGTTACTGACGCGTACTACAGACGGCGTTTCACGCATCATTTAATGACGACAAACTTGCAGATGCTCAGTCCCTCAAAATAAGCCGCGGCACCAGTGTCGTATGTTGGGCCTGTTCTTCCCAGGCTCGAGCCGATTTGATGATTGCTGACATACACCCACCACTTAGATCTTGCTTCTTGTTTACATCATCTACCTGTTGTTTCAGCTCAAGTCCCATGCGTACATGTATGAATCCACGCCACAACACATTGTTGATGCCGAGTCGACACCTGGCCCTGCTGCTGCATGGTTGGATACCTCGAGCAGCTCAGATGACGACAGCTCCTCTAGTTCTGACTCAGTCTCATCCGGCCATTCTCGAGGCACCATTGGTCGCAAAATGAAGAAAGTTTTACGAAGTGGAATGCGACGCAAGCCCTCGTTTGCCTCCACGGACACGGCTGATGCCAGAGCTGTGCGAGGCGGCTCAGTTGTAACGGGAAACCCAAGCCCCAACGAGGAAGCCACCTCCGAGGCGTCATCGTCCCGCAAGCCATATTTTCCACGAATGCCCTCGACTGATGATGGTCATTCTACCGACGACGAAAAGGTTGACCGACATCGAAAGCACCGAAAGCGTCGACATTCGCGCCGCAAGCAAAGCAGGAGACACGGCAGAAAGCACGATGATGATGCAAAGCAAGAAGCTACCAGCGTACTGCCTGAGAATGGCGTGCCAGCTGGTGGTCAGTCTGAACCACGCCGGGTGGATTTCGCCCTTCCCGCTCAACTGGACGCCCCGACCGGCGTGGCAGCGGAAAGCGGCAACGAGTCTAGCAACACTAAGCGCCCGTTTCAAGGCTTTCGTTCCCTTTCCGTCAAGAACCTCACCCCGAGCGTATTTGTCCAGAATCCAAGGACGTTGGTTGACGCTTCACCTCCGCCGGCCGGACCTGTTCCTCGCGTTCGATATGGTATTCGTCGCACAAACTCGTTGCCTGACCGCCTTAGCCACCAGCAACATCTTCGCCCGCCCGGCGCCATGCTGCCCGCCCAGATCCCCCTCATGTCCCTCAATACTGCCGCCGCAGCCTCACAAAGGTTGGATGATGACGATGGTGAGGAGCACTTGACCCGCTGGGCGTCTGTCATCCTACTTCTCGTCAGCACAGGATTGGTCGCCGTCTGCGCCGAGTTTCTCGTTGACTCTATCAAGGAAGTCACGGAAACGTCGCGTGTTGGAGAAATTTTTATTGGCCTAATCATCCTACCCATAGTCGGCAATGCGGCAGAACATGTCACGGCTGTCACGGTGGCGATGAAGAACAAAATGGACCTCGCCATTGGTGTTGCCGTCGGCAGTTCGATCCAGATTGCTCTATTTGTAACGCCTCTGGTGGTGATTTTGGGTTGGATCATGGACAAGGAAATGACGTTGTACTTTACCCTTTTTGAAACAGTCTGTCTATTTGTTTCCGCCTTTATTGTCAACTTCCTGGTCCTGGACGGTCGCAGCAATTACTTGGAAGGTGCACTCTTGTGTGCCGTCTACATCATCATTGCTGTCGTTGCATTCTTCTATCCAGATCCAAAGGACGCAAATTCATGGAGCGACTGAAGGCACTCGAGCTGACAGCAGCCGTTTTGCTTGTCCAAAAAGACTAGGCGCGCGTGGTACCGGGCCTCATGACGTCACACAGGAATTGAGGGAGGCTGGAGAAGTGGGTGGCATTAGTATGTTGGGGAGTAGTAGTTGCATGGGAGACGTAACCAAACAAAGGAGATAGACTATAGTAAATACATTGTTACACATTAGGTTTATCCGGTATGGGCACAAGAGTCTCCAGCCATGTAGGTATGTCAGCGTGGAGTCGATGATACAGTCTCAAAGACGATTATTAGGTTCTCGATGTTGTAGTTTAGGGGTCAGCTGACAATGTTGACCATGATTGTTGTCGTTGTTGTCGTCGTTGTCGTCGTTGTCGTCGTGGTGGTCGTGGTCGTCCTTGTTGCTACATGTACGGCAAAGAATCGCACGATCCCACGTCACAACAGGCCTGGCCCCTTAATTGGCCGGTGTCTCATACTGCTTCACCTGTTCCTCGGTCCAATCCCAGAATGCCTTGGAGGTGCCGTCGTCGACTGCGTTTTGCAAGTCCTTTCGTATGGTCAGGAATCGGCCCCAGGGCCCAACTATTATTCGGGGGTTCATGGTTAGCGTGCGGCTGGCCGTGCACGGTGGGCCAGCGCCGAAGCAAGAGGAGAGGAGAGAGAAGAAGAAGGAGAAGAAGAAGAGAAAAAGCTCACCCCAAGCACCGGACCTGTCTGGGGTGACGGCATCCGACAGGCCGGCAAACAGCTCCGTGAGGGCGCCGTACCTGGGCGGGTGCAGCACAAAGGTCCTCAGCAGGCTCGACACAAGCGGGGTCTGGGTCCTCCACAGCTCCGAGTCCAGGTTGCCCGGGTTCAGGGGGATGCTGAGCACGCCGCGGTCCCTGTAGCGCCTGGCCATCTCGACGGCGTGCAGGTAGTTGCCGGCCTTGCTGAGGGCGTAGCTGGCGAAGGGGCCCTTTCGGGGGCGGTCGGCCATGTCGTCGAGCCGGACGCCGCCGCGGGGCACCTGGGGCGCCTCGGCGGCGGAGGAGGCGACCCAGACGACGCGGACGGTGCCGGGGGCCTCGGACTTGGCGGTGTCGACGAGGCGCGGGGAGAGGAGCCTGGTGAAGAGGAAGGCGCCGAGGTTGTTGACGCCGAGCTGCAGCTCGTAGCCTTGCTTGGTGAGGGAGTTCTTGGGCGGCCTCATGACGCCGGCGTTGTTGAAGAGCACGTGGAGCCGGGGCTCGCGGTCGAGGAAGCGGCGGGCCGAGGCGGCGATGGTGGCCAGGTCGGCGAGGTCGAGGGGCAGGAAGACGAGGGCGCCGGCCGACGAGGGCTGCGAGGACTCGATGTCGGCTATGGCGGCGAGGGCCTTTTCCTCGGAGCGGGCGGCTACGTAGACGCGTGCGTTTTTGGAGTAGAGCATGCGGGCGAGTTCCTTGCCGACGCCGGCGCTGGCGCCTGTGACGATGTACACCTTTTTGGACTTGTGTGAGCGCGGTCGGGGAAGAAGAGCGGACCGGGAGGGAGGACTCCGTAAAGGATGGCTCGGGGGGGTAGAGCTGGGACACCTGGTCGAGGAGATGGTTGAACATGGCGGTTGGCGGTGGCGGTGGCGGTTTGGGTGCGCTGTTGGCCGGGAGCGAGATGGGATGCGGGACTGGCGTGTAGGTGATGTGATGCGCTCGTCTGGAGGTGAGCGTAGATGTGTAGATGGAAACGGCGGACTACGGAGTGGCCTTGTATAACAATACTTGGGGTCGGCAGTTGGACACGGGCGCCTGTTGCGTCACGAGTCGCGGCGCAACTGCCGAGGTTGGTTGTGGGCAGCGGCGCGCCACACACGTGGCAATGGCCCAGGAACGCCCTACCGCCGCGCCGTCGCGCCACCGCATTCAACCCCTTTCACCTGTCGGGGCTGTGCCGGCCTGTCGGGGCCCGGGTTCCCAGGCTTCCACCCGGCGCCCGTTTGCCTTCCCTCCCGGCCTGCAGCTCCGCGAAATACAGGGGTTCAAATACCCGCAGCCTCGAGGTCTTGTTGGCCAGTACCAAGCATGTTTGTCGCTTTCCCTTGGCAGCTCCGATATCACAGCATGGGGGCCGCACCTGCCTGCTTTTACAGAACTGCACGTTCAAAGCTTGCAATCCAAGTTCCAAATGGCAAGAGCGAGGAGAGCGGCAAGGCTCCTTTTCAAGAAGTATTGCTCGATTTCTCTTTTGCTTCTTTTCTTTTCCTTTTCTCTTTGCCGGCCCCCTCCGATATCCTACAATTTTTCTTTGGAAACGCAGCGTTTTTTTTTTCCAAAAAAAAGATATCAAATAGTAAGTGTTGCAACTTTTTGTTTTCCTCTCTGCTACATCCGTCTGATATAGTCATCCCTGCTAATGTCACCAAGCAATAGATGTTTAGTACGGCATTGGGATTCGTCCCGACCCCCTCGGGGGAACTTACCAGGGCTGTCTGTGCGGTCACATTGGTGATCATAGTGCTCACGCCGGGGCAATTGCAGTTCCTGAATGGGGCCTTGCGTATTGCCCTGGAACACAAACCTCTTTTGAAGTTTGTGTTAGACGCTTTGTTCGGCAATGTGCCGCAAGGACCCTGGTAAGCCTCTCCAGTTGGGATGACGGACGGTTCCACGACAACCCTGGTACCCTCGCCTTGGTCCAGCCAGGGACCCCTCTTGCAATCCATTGGACCTCCGGGTCCATTCAGCCTTCCTCGTCTCGTGCCTTTGGGGCCATTATCATCCTCATCCGGGCTCTACACGCATGAGTCGCCCTCTAGCAGTTGGGCTAGAAGTACCGACGGACCCCTCTTGCAATCCATCGTGTCTTGTTAGTGTAACCATCACTCTTTCTTTCTGGTCCACTGCACACTGAAGAATATCGTCCCAACACTTATTGAAATTTAAGGTCTTTTCGGTTCATTTGAAAGAGGCTATCTCAACGAAGACCTACGTGCACTTGGGCTTACCGAAAAAACTCTTGCGACTCACACTTCTATATTACTGCTCTCTTGCACTCAGTGTTTACGAAACTTCGGGTGCTTCTACGAGCCTTCTCGTATTGGATGTATCACACACTATTCAGAAATATTCGAGGATATTCGCGCACAATTTACGCAGATACGAGAATTCACAATCAATGGTCAAGAGAACTTCCACGACAGCTTGAATGGGGCCATACGGTCAACAGGGGGGCGATGTTGAGCACGATGTCGAGGAAGCTGAACGAGAGATTGGAGATGATTGCATTGATTTATTGAAGGGCTACAACCTTGCGAGATGCGTCCCCTCGTACGCAAAATGCCTCCATCCCAGCTCGGCCTCGAAACTCCCAACAACACATCCAGGCTTATCAAGTTTGGGATCTTAAAGCCTTGTATCTGACGAGTCCCCATCCAACAAGCCCCTTCGCACTATATCTATCCGTCCTCTCCATCTTCTCTAATGTCATACTTCTGGACAACAGCCCCTGCTGCACCTGGTGCCTACGGAGCCCCGTGTGGTGCTTCTGCAAGTCCTCTCGCTCTGTGTTGGTCCTTGGCATGGGAACCTAGCAGTTTGAAGAACGCTGGAAATGCTTCTCGGGAGAACGCCAAGGTCGACAATGCAGATGTCTGGGATACGCTCGGAGACGACGTGACTACCCTGAATGGACCTGGTTGGCTGCGTTGGATGGTACCAGGTCCTTCATTGAAGGATTGGATTGGTTTTTGACTTGAGTCAACGGTGGCGATTGGTTCTGACCAGCATTCGCTTGGTGTGGGTTGGACAATTGTACTGGGCTCAAGCGACAGAATGTTACACTGTGGTTATCGTTTATATATACGGGGGATGTCGTTGTTGGGATTCCTCAGATGTGTGGTTGGATAAATCTTATTTTGTTTTTTAGAGCGGGTCTCTTGTCACAGAACATACAAACTATCATCTTAACGCCAAACGCCGTTATCGCTGTCATCTTTAGCATCATCATCATCGGATATCACGATGCATCAGCAGATGTGGGAGAGCCATGATTACACGTCCATGAAGGCGGCGACGGCATCCTAGAACGTTCGTTCTATTCATAAGATGCGAAATCCATCTCTTGATAATCTGCTGGCCTAGTGTCTATTTCCATATCGACCTCACTGCTCTCCATAGCTTGTAGGCCATTTATGGCCGAGCGCGACAAGGGCTTGTGCTGCAAGGGCTCGGAGAAAGGACTCAATTCAAAGATGATCTCTTCGGGTGCCAGAGGGCCTTGGTTTCAGTCTCGTCCTTGGTCCCCAAGGGCTTCCATTTATACCGTTGGCTTCCTACGAGCCCAAGGCCTCAATACCTCCCTCGTGACAATGTTGTGCAACCAATATCCGGCCAAACATCATGACCAACACCGGCCCATGCCGAACATCGCGAGGGGTCGCGGGTGGGCTCCCTGTGACACGGAGCGAGCATCAAAGCAAGAGCACAGAGGGCTGGGAAGTAGAGATACACTCAGCAGCGGAAACAGCTTTTATTCACAGAGCCTGATGATGGAATTGGGGCTTTATCAAAGTAGTCCATAGATGCTTCAAATCCTCACGGCGGGATTCCACCGTCAAATTTTGCGTCAACTCTCCTCCACCTACCGACTTATATCCCGAAATCACGAAAGGGCGACAATCGCTATGCACACAAGGCTTGCAGTGATGACTCAAAATCAATCTCATAATCCCACGGCGTCCAAGGTCCTTGGTGTTTCTTTTAATTTGCCGTTTCAGCGTGTTACACGGAAAAGCCTCAACCACATGACTAGCTGCGATGCACAAAAGGTTGCAGCTGTCACGATGCCCTCATAGGCTACTACTAGTGGGCTTAGGCACCAAGGGGCACCACCCCTTTGCTGCCTGGTTAGGTTACACACACAAGCGCCATTGTATATACAAAGCGCCTTATTCGTTAGGTCTATCAAGTCAAGGAACTAAGTATCTTCAAGACCCCATAACATTATATGTAAATACGAATTATTTGCTCCAAGCCCTGATCTCCAAGACTAGCCCTTGTTACACAGCGTCCCTCGCGAAAATGAGCGCATACTTCTCAGGATCGTTTTCTTTGGCCCAATCCATGTATACCTCTTTCATAATCCCCTTGAAACATGGCCCCTTTCTAACCAACTCCATTGTTGACATGAAAACTGCCAAGACACAGGGAAACAGAAAACAGATGAGGACTTCTGTTTTATCTGGTAGTCTCCGACCTGAAAAACACACGATTCCAGTGTCCACGGTCATGTAGGCCGTGATACCCGCGAACCAACGGAATACTCGTGGACGGAAGAGGCAGTAGCGGACTTTGGCGAAAAATGCCATTGAAGGAGGGATGTCTGATGTGGGATCAATGACTATCATCGTGAAAGCGTACAAGCCGCAGCAGAAAATGGAAAAGACGGGCATCATGTGTGATGGGTTGATAATATGTGGTCGTGCGGCGTGCGCGGTGTTTTGCTCGTTTGGATTTTTCAACGTGAAAACTTGAGAAGATGGGTCTGTGAGAATAGGAGTGTGTATATGTGTGAGTGCTTGGATGCTGGAATGGTGGAATGACTGAATGCCGAGTGCTTGAGTGCTCGAGTCTGATTATGATTGTTCTGGCAAGTGTTGCTGCTGCTCCAAAGGCGGGCAGCTTCAAGCTTTATACCCCAGGGAAACGAAGAAGAATCGACTAGTAGCCACGTGCTGCAGCTCCTAGCTTTACCTGTCGAACCTGGTGCCAGCTCGTCTGGCGCCGGCGTCTTTCTACGTGCGACGAGGCGCCGCTATACTGCGCCGTCAGTGTTGAAGAAGATGCCACGGCCGCACTAGAAGGTGTCTTGTCCTCTTTGATCGAAAAGCATACACGTGTAGTGAAAAAATCTCAAGGCGCCTGGGTACGTCAGAGACGGGGCGCTTGAAGGCGTCATGTACGGGTCATCATTCACGTAGTCAATCCCATAGCGTGACGCCTCGTTTCGAGCCAGCTCCGAGTGTTGCACGGAAAGAGGCCTCAACCACATGACTAGCTGCAATGCACAAAGGTTGCAGCCATCACGATGCCCTCATAGGCCACTATTGGGCTCGGGCGCCAAGGCATCAAGGCACCCCTTTGCCGCCTACTACACAGGCCCCAGCATGTACATAAAGCCCGAGTTGGTCAGGTCCATCGGGTTGAGCAACGAGGAACCTGCCCGCTCCAGGTCATTGAACACATGGCTGAGCTGCTAGACCTGGCTGACATTGGCAAACTACGACTCGGCTGCGTAACTCTGGCTACGAAAGCCTCTGGTGAGCTTTTTGAGCCCTTACACGTCCATCTAACAGCGGATTCTCTAATCACATGTTATTTTGAGACAAACATGCGTATATCAGCAGGTTCAGATGACATCCTATTGGATGTGTAGATAGACAATGCAAACAAGCCTGCTCCCCATTTTGGCCCATCTCTCGTAGAAAAGACGCCCATCCGGTTTAAGCTTGCCGTCACTGTCCTTGTCATACTCGAATAGCGCGGTGCCACGCCGTCCTTTATACTTGCGGTCGTCAAGACGGTAATCGCAGTTGCAGGTGCTGATAGATATACCGGGTATGAGTCCTCGCAGTGTATTTACCCTGGCAAGCCCAAGAAATACGGCATTAGCTATTATCTGCTTTGCCAAACCAAGGGAGTCGCTGGAACATTGTGCGGATCAAGTAAAATTGCTTACAGCGTATCGTGCTCGTTTGGAAATTTTTGAGCACGTTCATCAAATGGCCTGGCTTCACTGCGTGGTGTCATGATGGAAGCCCACGTCTTGTCATCTGGTTGACTGAACAAAGCCGGGTTCAAAGCCGAACCAGCCGCATACGGAGTTGGGCCAGAACCAGCAATCAGATTGACAATTGTTGGAAACTCATAGAACGCCCGGCTATTGCTTGCAGAGAATCGATAATGAAGGCCCTGCCAAAAATGGCACTGCTAAAGTAAATATAAACCCAAGCCCGGATATATAATACTGGCTGTTGAGCTATAGGGCGAGGGTTCAAAACTCATACCATGTATACACCGCGCGCAGACACGACAGTCAAGACTGTACATGGCCGTTCCTATGAGCAACTGACCTTCATTAAGAGTTGCGCTGCTGACCGCCTGTTGAATGCAGAACGAGGGCCCTCTGTAGCCGCCGCCGACTTGCGGAAACAGAGGGCATATAGTGTGTACGGCGGGCAGTAATGTCCTTTTCTCTACATATCGTCCCGTCTCTCGTAGTCTGAGTTCACGTAATGTTCTCTTACCGAACTGCACACATCTTGTAGTACTGCTCAAGGCAATGATGTCCTCGGGCGCGCGTCTCTTGCTCATGGCACAGGATGAGCCTCCGCGCTTGGTGGGAGTGCAGTCTGCTTTACAGTAGTTCACATCTTGTCTGCTAGTAAGACTATTATGATGGCAGCTGTGACGGTGTTGGCATGATATCAAGGTCTTTTGGAGTATCTGCGTTATGTGGTTGATATACATTGCGGGCGATTCACTCGACAGCCCGTCTATAAAACGGGCAGTGCAAACAGTCACAATGACTACGAGGGCTTTCCCTCGGGAAAGGATCATTTTGACTGAAGTTCAACGGGGCATTGGGCCACGGCCATGTATCAAAACTTGGAAACAACATAAAAGACAGAACGCGTGAGTTTTAACAAGAATGCGTGATAGTCTTTCGCATCAAGGAGACCCCGCTGGCTTACAAGGAATGTTGGCAGTATTGATTCACAATGGAGAATCCTTTACCAAGCTTTACGTCGTGATAAGTACTCTGCTGACCTCCCCATTGGTACTGTCCAATGATCTAGAGAATCAGCTGCTGGGCCACCATCTGCAGTTCGAGACTAATTGGGAATTGGGACCGAAATCGGAGCTGACGACCCTCATGTGCTCCATGGTTGTAGGCATCTAGAGATGACATGATGACATGCCGCGGACCCATACCATACTTGGCGATTATATTCTGAACAGGACCCAAAAAGGCGATCGAGAGATCCATGGGCCATAAGGAAGACAAATGAAGGATTCCTTGCGAGAGGTTTCCCGAAGAGCCTATTTCGTTCGCTTGGCAGGAAATCCAAGTAACTACTATGGGCACAAGTGCTGACAACCATGAACTAGACGCCCGACCTACCGTGGGGGCCCTGAGTAGAAAATGGTTGGTGATCAGAAGATTATTCCGATACCTTGAAACAAACAGAGTTGATATTTTTAAAGAGCATAAACATTTCTTCCGACCACTTCCTACTTGGGGAACCCCCAGGCACGTGTGCATCACTCACACGAGGTTGACTTCTTCAAGACCCCCCAACTATATGGTAAAACATATCTACATGTTATCGACATGTATGCTACATGAATTTTACCGCCCGTCTACTTTGGTTCTACTCGTTCCTTTTGCATTGTCAAGCGTCATGATGGGGTCTCTTCATCTCAACATCTTGACAATCCGTCACTTTGTTTTACTTGATATAGAATTGGTGAGCGCGGTAAACGTTTCTACCACCGGCTTTGCAAGTATCAATAGAAAAGTCAATACTGCACCAAGCGCTGTTGAGTTTTCTTCCGCCGTACAGGTAGCTGCATCTGTCGCGTCGCTGTAGATCTTCAGCGACCTCCTCCATTATACAAGGACGTGTTGCCACAAAAGCCATACGCTACAGATGGCGGTTACGCAAAGGGCGTAGATGGCGCATCTCTATCAAACTCGAATCATTTTGCTATTTGGGGACGAGCTTGCCCTGTAGGTGAGCAGGTATAAAATGCTGCGATTGGTTTGTCCTCCGTGATGAGGCTCAACTAGCCATATTTTCTGCAACTCCCAAGGCCACAACGGCCTCCACCCCAATCATTGGCCTTGGGTGTCACCCATCACAGGGAGTTACTGCTGCCTAGGATCCTGGTGAGCCTCAAATTACCCACTCAAGATGGTCAAAAGTCTCGTTGCTCACGCACTTGGACACGTCAATCTAGTCTACGGTGCTCACAATTACGATATCGAGGTCGAGGCGTCGATCAACGGAGGTGGTCATGGCTTCTCGGCCACAACTTCCCAGTCGAATCGATGGGACTCCCAGTGGCCTCTTGATGGATGGACGTGTGCCGTAGCCGTGAGAGCTAGCGCCGGCGACTCCATCAAGGCCCAGTATACCGGATCACAATCTGCAGTCGCAAAGCCGCAACTTGCTCCAGCGCCAGCGAATATCCAAGTCCAGCCGACAAACTCGGGTATGACTGTGACATGGGACCCTCAGTCAGGTGCCTTTACAGATTCAATCGCGGAATACAACGTCATCTACTGGGACTGGGCCGCTAATCATTGCTAGTTTATTAACGGAGCCGCTTTTAAAAGCTCGCCGGCAGCTGTTACAGGACTAGATCCTGGTACCAATTACCTAGTTGCAGCAGAGACATGGAATGCAAATAGATAGGGGCTCCCAGCTATTGTTAATAATGCTGTTCCAGGTGCGGGAACTCTGCCTGTGTCCGGAGGCTTAACTGTCGATTCAAAGGACCCTGCTACAGTTCGGTGAGTACAGCCATGCTTGAAGGTGCCAAACCACAGCACCAACAGAACCTTCTAAGTGAGCTTTACTGACCTACTACTTCACAGCATTACCTGGACTGGTTCTGACTCTGCCGGCGGCTATCACGTCTAGAACCGCAATGTCAACCAGTTGGGAAGCGAACTCCAGTCTATTGCTAACGTCACTGAGGGTACTTGCCATGAGGTTGTCTTCCTATTTCCTAGTGTCTGGAACTTTGCCTTTGCCATATCAGCCTACAACGGAAACCTAGAGTCAGATCACAGCGCCAAGGTCATGGCACCCTCGCCTACACCGGGTGGCAGTGATCCCACGTGCGCCCCTAAACAGCCTTGGTGCCCAGGTGGTGGTTCCATCTCTATTCCTCCGGGCTGTTCAACACCGACCCAGACCAGAGGGCCAACCGTGACAACGTCAGTCCCCACCGACACTTCCATTCCGATAGTAATCCACGGACACCGTACTGGACCTGTAGAATATCAGTAATTCTCTTCTCAGCATCAACCTAGTTTGGCAGGATCCTGCAAAGAAGATCCTTTGTATATACAGCAGCCGCCGTTGCTGCGAATCGTTGCTATTCCTTGTTGTCATGTGTGTCTGAGCAGTCACAAATACCACAAACAACTAAGCAAGGGAAGTGGTTTATCGACCCTATAGCCTCTATTTTAAAACAGAGAAACCTCTTTCTGCGGAAAGTTTATCCTGGATGATGGCATCCTTATTAGACTGTTCGCAGAGGCAATCAAGCTGTAGTGGATAGCTGGGTTGTTGTCCTTATCTTTGTCCCTTTCGCTGCTTGGTAACTATGAATTTCGATGAATCGCGCCCGCAGCACTCGCCGCAGCACTCGCCGCAGCTTCTGTCGTTGTATGATAGGCGGGTGAACCCAGTTCGATACAGCCTGTTAGTACTTGCGTCTGGTCGCTTATACCCCTTTCGCAGCCTTGGCTTGGCTTCAAGAGCTTTGTTTATGGTCTGTCCGAGCTGATGTCCTTCCATCTTATAGTCGGATCTGAGTCCCTTTACCGCTGTGTGCAGGAAGATCCGCGGCTGATCTAGAAAGCCAGTTGTATGAAAACGTTAGCCTTCTGTCGTCTTGCCAAAGTCGTACTGAAACACGCCGCGTTCCCACCACTAGGGGCGCTGACCACAACTTAGTGGCGAGCGTCGTCCCTAAGTGTGGAGGTCTATTAGTTCCATTCTATTGTTGAAGTCGTTTTTTAAAGTTATGACGCGTCACCTACACTTTATCTGCCATTGGAGATTCTGAAAAGCTTGGGGGAGAGACTTGCTAGGCTCTTTAACGTGGCGGTGCGCTCTCTTAAGATTGAGTTGCTCATTTAAGGTTGTAACAATCATTTTACTGCTGCCTACAAGGCAGCAGGTTTCCAAAGTACTTGGCTTTCGTATTATTTCTCTCCTTTGTCCATTAAATCAGGATTCTCTCATTTTGTCCAACTGTTCGAGTAACGTGTTGTGTGACGTCAGCGATGTCAAGATTTTAACAGCTCCAACTCAAAAATTTGAGGACTGGGATAACTAACGGCATTGTATGCTCATTCAGCCAAGACAAAAAAAGAGCTCGAATCCTCCAGAGGTGGATTCAACCAAGGACCAAGTCAGCTGTTCTATTGACCTATAGGCTATAGCTACTGTGACGGTACAAGAGCACGAGCAAGGTCGAGTGCGACTTGGAGCAAGGCGAATGTTCACAAAAGAGAGTCAGAGCATCCTTTGGCTCAAGCAATCTAGGTCCTAAAGTGTGGCTGTTCCCTCACAGTCCCTGACTGGTGATACGTTCCCTCATCCTTCAAAGAACGTGTTCGTTTGCGTTATGACAGATAAATAAAGTCTGCAAGTTCAAGTGACAGTAATCTGCTAGTGTCAAAGTGTCTATAGCGCTGTATGATTAATAATACTTGAAAAACCGCGACAAGGAGTTTTGGAGGGCGCGCGAAAGCAGACGGATAAATGCTCAGAAAGAATGCATTGCCCGGCTACGGGTTAATCCGCTCCGCTAACCCTCGTCTGCTATTAAAATGCCCGTCTTTCACCCCAATTTCCGATCCTGACCCTTTCTCTTATAGGCGCCGTGGGAGGAAGTGTTTTAAACATGAGCAGCTCTACTCTTTCTCCTGCTATTGTGCGTTATTCTAAGCTTCACTGATCACTAATATAGAGTTTAAATCCTCACTTAAGATATACTTAAATAAAATAGAGAAGACTAATAGTAATAATAAGTATAGAGCTTAATTAAAGAGTTTTTAATCCCAAGGCTAAATTAGTAGTATTTATTACTAGCTATTGGTAAAGAGACATAATAACTAAGAATGTTAGCTTCCTTAAGAGGTCCTTTAACTTTAGCTTATATTTCAAGTTTAGTAATAAAAGCCAAGATGTAATTATTTAATATCTAACTGTCAATAGAAAATTAGCATTAGAGACTTACAGGTCGCAATTGCAGTGACAATTGCGGAGCGTTCTCTTTTGCTGCTGCAGTGGCCAAGCGGTCAATTGCGCGCTGCGACCTGTATCTTCTTTCCGACAATAACGATAATTTTTAGAGTTTTGTAAGTTATCTATAAAGTAACTTATATTTGACTTGATATATCGTCGCGCCTTTTGGTCCTCGCGAGGCGGGAGCGAGATTGAGTTTGCCCGGTGCTCAAAGCTTCGAACCGTTGGCGTCCTCGGAAGTCCCACAATCCCCAGGCCGGTGTGGTGTCACGTGATACGCATGATCGTATATATATCAACGCCCACTTGAAGGGCCCTAGCTAGTACACAATGAATCTCATTTCCCTCACAGGTAGTCTGGGAGAAGGTTGCCAGTAGCTTCTGACCATGCCGGCTTTGTAGTCCCACAGGGGTTGTCTGTGCGCCTTTCCGTTCCAGGATGGAAACGAGGCTTTGTAGCCGGTGCAGCACATCACTCACGGCGTCAAAGGTTTCTTCGCGGCACACATGGACGTTTCTAGCGGCGTCGAACTCTCGGAGTGTCATTTCCACGCTCTAGCGCGGCCTTTATCTGGCAAGGGTGCGGTCAGGCCTCAGCTGCACAGGGGTATCTGTCTTGCGGATGGCGAAGCGGTTTTCAACATATTGGCGGGCAATATAGTGCGGAACAGAGGGACCGTATGCAAATCTCGCACCAGAGAAGCACATGTCTATCCGGAACACTAGTTCTGGATATGTATTTCGGGCTAGGATTTGTCACTGCACTTAGCATGCTCATGTCAAAGCGTTCCCAATCGGCGTTGCAGTCCAACGCCCTCCCTGTATGGGGGATGCTTAGTAGCCGCTGGCAAGCCATTGGGTAGGTATATCTCAGGGTCGGTCGGTCTTGGTGGGAAGCGTCTTTCCAGGATAGACAGAGTGAAGCGGACCTCACCTGGATCTTTGTCGTAAAAGCTGGCTTTGGGTTCAACTAAGCAGACGCTACACGTCTCCGAGGACTGGACTTTGCAACAAACCAGGTTCTGCCAGCTGATTCCCGGCGCTCAAACACCCAAGTTCGGTCAAGATAGGGGTCAGGCTCGAGTGCGGATGCGGCAATGCACCCGTCAGACTGATGATGCGTTGGGAACTGCGCTAGAGTGTCTGGTCAATTGGGGCAAGGAAGAGTACCAGCGGTTGGGCTGATGATGGCAGCGGAAATAACGTCTGCCTTCAGACGATTCGTGGAGGCTTTAGCACGCGAGCTAGTCTTTGACATGACTTCTGCAGACCCTCCAAGCGTCATGCATAAAGCCCAGACCCCCTTAATTTTCAAGTTGAACCGTGAATGAGGCCGAGCTACTCCGTAGCCGGTTGCGTCCTGTTTGTACCCACGTGCCGTCGTCAACATCTCTCTCTACATGCTACAACTCCGTAGCAAAAGGCCCCTCAGACACAAGCTCCATCAGAAATGGCAGCCATCATTGTACTTGGTGAAGCAACAGAGGCTGCCGGCCTGTGGCTCCGGCCTTGCTGGTTTGGAAATAACTTGCCGAGGGTCATTCTTGAGCACCGAGTCGTGGGACCAAACTGTTGAAATCGTTACATTCATCTTCGCACCTCGCGCCTGAGATATATGCCTAGCGCCGGCCGCCGCCGACGTTGGATTAGTCGGCTGAGACACGACAGGCCTCCGGGGCAATCTAGCCCACTCGGCTGGATCCTCTATCGGGCCTTGTGCGGTTCAGGACCCTATCGACTCTCCTCCGTTCTATATTTGAAACACGCTGAAACTCTGGGCGTGTGCCGCCAGCAGCACTACCACGAATCGAAACAAATCTGACGTCTTTTTTATGCGACCGCCATCTGGATGCTGGGATGTCTGTTGTTCCTAAAACAGGACTTGTGTCAGTTGCCATCTTGCGTCTATCCCAACGTAATTTTGGCCACTGGAGAAGCTCTACTGGGATCGGCCTAGCCCACGTCATTGTCAAGTTCAACGCCTGGGCTGTGCATGCTTTGGACGGATGTCTAGATATCTGAACAAGGTACCCTGACTTTCAACTTTTAGTCACAAGCAGTCTGAGGCCGGCATGTTGGTACTAGGCCTCCCAATCCCACGGTTATACGTGACATTTGAAACATGGAGATGGAGTTTAGCCAAGTCCTCTGTAGAAATCGCCTCTTATTTTCACTGGGAATTAGAGCCAAGGTGGCAGTGTTCCGCTATTTTTCTGCCCTCAACCCCATCAGTACCTATTGACCCTATGCACAAAGCACTTGGGGGAGCGTCTATGCTATTCTTTAGTGACAGGATGCTTGTTCTCTCCCCTTTTGCACCAGTCATAAACAAGAACTCGCCTAGTCCTTGTCTTCCCTGCTATGTCCCTTTTATTCCAGCCGATAATAAAGCTCCTTGATGGCCTAGCTTGAGTCAGCAAGAAATCACCTAATATAATTGCCTATAAAGGTGTCTGACCCTGTCTGGCTCTCTACGTAATAGGCATTATTGCAAGCGCACTAGAAACTCAACAGCAACCTAAGAGAAACTATGAAATTCATTGCACTATTTACAGCTTTTAGCCACGCTACCGTTACGGCCTTGTATGTAGGCAGCCAGGGCTCCTCTTCACCTGACGCAGCAGGGCGGAACCTCCTCGATGAAGCTGCCACACTCAAGAAACGAGCGATAAACGAATGTGGCTATCAGCGACAAGAGGTCAGCAGCAACCTTGAGTCTTGCGGCGCGAAAGCGACTAAAGCCGCAGACGTCATCTCAAAAGGCCTGACAGGCAGGGATAAGGAGCTCTTTGATCAGTACTTTGGCGGCAACGACCCCAGCACGGTGGCGGAGAACTTTAGAAAGATTGCTGCAGGCTGCAGCCAGTCAAACGAGGTCACTATCGAGTGCCGCCCGAATGAGGAATGCACCCTTCAGGACAGGCCGGGGCAGACGTTTTTCGCCACAGCAAGTAAAAACAGGCTTGGCGATGGAGCTTTCAAATCGATACGTCTCTGCCGCGGGGCCTTTAGCATGGGAAGAGGCGGCGGGTGCAGAGAAAAACTATCAAGCCTGGCCGACTTGTTGGTACATGAGATGTCCCATGCGACGTTAGCGACAGAGGATATTGCATATGACAAATCTGCGACTACAAGCCTTGGCCCGCAACAAGCTCTACAAAATGCTGATAGCTATGGGCTCTTTTCCCAAGATTATTCGAACGGATGCAGCTCGACCGGGCGTTCAGGCAACCCTTCGGGTTCGGGTTCGCAGTCTCAACCCGGCAGCAATCTCAGAGGCCCGGGTTCGCAGCCTCTGCCCAACGGCAATCTTGGAGGCCCGGGTTCGCAGCCTCCGCCCGACGGCAATCTCTTAGGCCCAGGTTCCCAGTCTCAACCCGGCAGCAATCTCGGAGGCCCGGGTTTGCAGCCTCTGCCCAACGGCAATCTCGGAGGCCCGGGTTTGCAGCCTCCGCCCGACGGCAATCTCTTAGGCCCGGGTTTCCAGCCTCAACCTGTCCAGCCTTCGCCCGACGGCGATCTTGGAGGCCTAGACCTCCAGATTTTGGGGCTCGACCCGGCGGAAATTTCAGAGGCCCAGGTGTACACATTGGCTTAGCTTCTAAGGCACAGTAGGTCTGTTTCTTAGGAAGAAAGTCAGGTTAAATGCTATAGAGTAGCTTTTCAAGTAGTATCACAATAAAGCTGTCAAGAGTATAACTCTTAATAGTAAGACTCTTACTTAGATTGATTAATAGAGACCTAGACCATCTACTACAGCAGAATACCTCCTCCTTACGTACTTATCTATCTCTCTATTATAGACTAGATTAACTAGCTTAACTGTTAATTGTAACTGCCCCACTTTAAATAGGTCAGCTAGCAAAGCCGTCACTACTAAAGGTAGTGCTAATTAGCAACGCGGCTACATTAGCAATACAGCTGTTAAGGACCAGCCTTATAGGCAACTGCGTGTAAGCGTTACTAGTATTAACTATAAACTTAGAGAGAAAAGAGGAAAGAGAAGAAGTTCTCTGTCCCTTTTTCACGCTATTATATATATATAGGTCGTAATATACATCTAAAAAGTATCCAACAAGGCACTAACACAGTGCCTTGTGTATACTCGAGCCATAAGCTCGAGTCCATTACACGGCAGCCCTAACAGCCCGAATGGCAAAAGCCGCAAAGATTAAGCTTTAGTTTGTGAATCATAGCCTGGTGTGACGGACTAGCCCTATTGGACCATAGCGGGTGCCGGCCGCAGTCATCCCGGTGGTTTGCCGGGCCCTCTTGGCCCCAACCATTGAGCCAAAAGAGTACGTAATGAACAAGCTGCCCTAAGCTTGCTCAATCTGGCACTATATAACTAGGTCACAAAGGGTTGGCTATGTACCGCTCGCTAGGTCGAGCATAGCTCAGACCATGACACCTGGTAAACTATAAATTTTTGGTGACGAGCCCGTCCGTCTGTACTTGACCTTTATAAATTATCTATTATTCTCGACATCATTTATGTTTCTACTTCCTATACTTTGTCAACATTAGAATCAAGATTTTGTTTTCTTAAAAAAAAAAACAAAGCCACCATGGTCTATCTGCGCCGGATCAGCTGGGCAGTCTGCCTACGCTTGTTGTTTTGGATAGGCAATTTGCCAAGTATTGCTGCATTGCCAGCACCGCCAGACGAGTCGACAACGTCGACAGCTTCTGCTTCTGCTTCTGCTCCTGCTTCTGCTTCGCCAGCGCCGTGTTCCTCAGCACCGTCGCCAAACCAGTCTCCAGGCGAATTCGTCTACCGCGTGTCGGCCAACAGACGAGGCGTAGTGTACAGAAATGGCTTTGGACTGGCTCGGGCCCGATACATACAGTTTTCTGATTATCATCCGGTTTCCAGACTTGCATCAGGGATTTCGCGGTCAGCGTCGCCTCTCGTGTACAACAAGCCGCGGCAGGCATTGGAGGCTTTTTTTGCAAGTCAAAGCAGCCAGCGGACTCACCCAGGGGCTTCGCCAGTACCGTACATGTACGCTATCCGTCGAGAGCCAACCTTGCGGGACGGCCTGACAAGAGGCACCTTCTTCCAGAATAGAGGAATTCCTGCGGGACAAATAGCATGGGAAGCTCCTTTGCCTCCGGTCCATGGCAGGGATGCAGGCGTAGGTGACCTATCAGCAATGACGGATGACAGGTTGGACGAGTACCTAGAGCAGCTCATGTCAGGGTGGGTTGACGTCTATACGGCACGGAGCGTGGAGACGATGCGTCAAAGGAAGGCCGGACGCCGGCGTAAGCTCGAGTGCCGGGTTCGAATGCAGGGTACGCCGAAGCGCGTCTGCTCTCACCATCGTCGACAGCGTCTGGATGGAATCGGCAGTCGTCTCCTGGAGCCAGGCCCCGACGGCGGCCCGGCTTGCTGGGAACGCGTCGTGTATGAGGCATACGCGAGACAGAGACAGAGACAGGCTTCACGTCAGGCGGCCGACGGCCCAGAGCTCGTCCTGGAGCCCGTCCCAGAGCCCGCCGCGGGACCTAGCCGCCTCTGCCAGCCGGGCCCGGTCTTGGACGGTTTTTGCAATCCCGACGACCCCGACGACGCGCGGCCTCCCCCCCAAAGAGGCCCGAGCACGACTGCGTACCTGAGGTGTTGCCGGACCTGGGAGACCTGGGAGACGATCGAGCCCGGCGTCTTGGGGGCGCACAGGAAGCGTGCCGCGATGCCCAGCAACAGCCAGAAGAAGACATGAACCTGACCGAGGAACGGGTGTGGGAGGCTATCATGCGAGCAGGTCTAGGTACAGTTGTGTTGCGCAAGCATCCGGATCCCTTGTGTTTCTAAAAATATGCATGTGCGCACGCTGACAACTAGGTATCATGACGTTGCCGTCAAAGACCTCGACGACATGGACCTTGATCTAGGGCCCGGTGAAGAGCAGCAGCAGCAGCAGCAGCAGCCGGAAGAAGAAGACCTAGACCTGACCGAGGAACAGGAACGGGAGGCCCTTGGGCAATGGGCCCCGTTCCAGTCGCGGGTCTGGGAGCGATTCCGCATTTCCGAGTCGCGCCTCGAGTCACTTATTGATGGAGGCCTGGACGCGCTGCAGAGGAGCCATGCTTACATCTATCAAATGTTACAGAGCAGCTATCCCCGCCTCCTGGCTGTCTTGCGGCTATTTGCCAAGTTCAAAATCACAGTCAGCTCATGCTTTGACCGGCCGTCGAGCGACCGCTCGGGTGCCCTCAAAGCTCGCGCAGGCCTAGGCCGAGGTATGTCTTCCAAGACTCGACTTGACAAATACTATGAATGATGCCAACGCCGCCCGCTTGCGGCCCGAATCTTGTGATTCTAGACCAAAGACTCGCCGACTTCTGCAAGGCCCTGTACCGACAAGGCCCCGACAACAACAGGTTGAGTTTGGCCTGCCAGAGAGACGTCCTGAATCAAGTCCAGAGAGCCCCCGACGACGCTACTAATGATGAGCTCCAAGTAGCCGTCGAGTCAGTTGCTTGCTTTCCGGACAATCCGTTGGTCCACAAGCAGTGCAAGCACGGCGTGTCCAACTTTTTTAGAAACGACTGGTCGGGCTCAAGGTCTGATGTCGGCCGAGTATGCAATGCACCTGGTGTGCCATCCGCCTCGGACAAGGCACGAACGGCCGGTAACATGTACCAGCTAGGTACGAGGGCACCGGACACCTGAAGAGAACCATGTGCCATCTGGAGCTAACGTGGGAACGAGCGGCCGTTCCAGCACCCAGCGGGGAGCAGCATCCGACGCTGTTTGAGAGGGTGGCCGGCGCAGTCCGACAGAAGTTCGGTATCGACAAAGGCCAGCTTGAGGCGCTTCTCAGTTCTGGCCTCGAAGCGCTGCCATCAGCCAATAAGCCCCTTTTTGATTTTCTCAAGCTGACGTTTCCCAACGTCGCAGCAATCATAGCTAGGTTGGCTCATGGCGGTCGTTCCCTTGCCTCGTGCTTCCTCAAGACGACCGGCAAGGGACCACGAACAAAGGCTCGAGCAGAGCAAGGTACGTACGTAAAAGACAATCCATTTTCGCCACGTACCCAAGTTGTTCAGAATTCATGGGAGACCCGCGTGCTCACTCTGACCTAGTATTGGACGAGACGGAGGAGGACTGCGTCCGCCTGTTTGCCGCCCCAAACAAGCAGCTACCTGACTACGTCTTTGTTGGCACCCATTTACCGCCCGAATACGTGAAAAAACAAGGGGGCCTTCTCCCCGAGCAGGTCTACCAATCGGTTCGCACACCTACGGATAGCCGTGGGTTCGGCGAGGCCGTAGCCGACGTTTCCCTGGGTTTACCTACATCTTCCACAAGCCCGGGCAAAGCAATTACAGACGAGAAGAAACTGAGAGAAATCGCCCGACGAGCCCTCCTCGTCCGTCTCGTCTTTGGAGAGGCAGCTCATGACGCGGACAAGCAAGCGTCCGTGGCGTACAAGAACAAGGTCAACCCAAAACAGCAACCCCCGAGTTGGGTATATGTCATCAAAACCACGCCAAACATCATCGTCTCGGGCAAGAGTGGCCTCGCCATGGCGGGTCTCCGCTGGGGTCAGGTCTTTCGCTATGCCCCCGTCCCGCCAGGCTACAAGATGCCCACCATTACTCGCGCACACGACCAACGACGCCTGACGAGGCAATTTCAGAAGCTCCTGGACTCGAACGAAAGCCACTTCATGGCGAACCCTGACTATCACGGGTTCGACGCGTTTACCGCCGGAAGAGGTCCGCTTGACCTTGGCAACTCAACGGCCGTAGTGGAATTTATGAACAACAATGGGCAGGCCGTAAGCTGGACTGGTAGTTTTCCCCTTTTCGAGCCAGCCAAGCAGCCAAAGAGCAAGGCTGTAAAGCCGGCTCGTGGGCTACGCTGGTGGGAGAAGCTTGGTCACTGGTTCACGGAACACGCATTGGCCATTACCCTGATTACTTCTGCCGTTATTGAGCTTATCCCGGTTGTGGGTGAGGTCGTCGGCCCCATTATATCTGCGTCGGCCATCGCCGCCGAAGCCGCTTCAGCAGGCACCGAGCTTGCCGTCTTTGCAGGAGAAGTGAGTGCTGAAATTGGCGAGACAACCAGCCTTCTCGCGCACCCCTACTAAGCTCGAGAAGACTGGAGAGGGTTTGAGTAGAGCTAGTCTATGGGCTGTACCTGGAAAAGCAGCAGTCATTTTTTTTATTCTTCACACGGGCCCTGGATGACCTCTTGGTATCCATAAAAAGGGCGCCCTATTCCTGGCTTGATGGATTGAATACCAAGGACTTGCTGCTCTTCGGTTTAGTACCCTGGTAGTTTTACCATGACAGACAGCACCGCGCGTATATGCAGTTACAGCTATCCACATGCAGGGAGAGTGCAATGCCGCTTCCAACGTCTACTGGGAGACATGTGCGTCCCACTGGCTTTGGCTTCGTGATAACAGCGCTCTTGCACTGATTGGCGCATTCTTTTGGGCGGTGCCAAAGTCAAAGTCGAACGTTGTTGGTGGGGCCATGTCCATCTTGGGCAAGTATACGTTACTCCGTACGGAACGGAGGACGGGGGTGCGGGATCACTCCGCATGTGGGGCGCAGACTTTTGGATCCACCAGACGGAAGGTCCCGTTGCGGGCGCAGGCGGACCCAGCACGGCTGTCACGATAGCGGGGACACCGAAGCTAGATATCACGTAGGTGATGCGAAAAAGCCTTGAAGTAAGCTACAAAAGAGAGAATTGTGTGCGCCCCTTCAAGCGGCGCTGGGTTCCACGATTCGTATGCACATTATCCTCATGCGTACGCTTACGTGGCCAAATGCCCAATCCAGCTACTTGTGCATATGCATATACAAGGTAAACAAGGCCGGTCAAGCCCATCCGCGCGCTGCCCTCTTGGCAAAGATCGTGACTTCAAGGCAAGTCGCTCGGTCACTCGTTTCGCACATCTTGGCCTGTTCAATCTCACCTGTACTAGTTTTGTAGTAACGAAGCTGAGGACGCCGTTGCTCTTGACGCCCACACCAAGTCTAGGCTGGATGAGGCCGCTACACGTCATACAGGTGGTGCCGTGGACGTCGCTTTCTACAACGGCGGCGAGGTTGCCAGTCTCGGCAACGGCCTTCACGGTGGAGACGGCCGGGATCCATTCTACGCCAAGGGGGAGACGAGCTGATGAGGCCCTGGACGACGCCTCTATCCACGATTGGCGACCACGAAACTGCCATCGTCCACAGGGCCAGGACTCACTCCATCTGGATCTTGTCTTGGCCGGACATGGCCGACCAGCCGGCAGTGCACTCGGTGACATGAATCTATGGTACAACCAGCTAAAGGAGCCTCCAGGCGGAGGTTAGAGTTCTCCAGGCTGAGTGGGACCAAGATGGAACCAAGCCATTGCACGTCAAATACAGGAGGGTGGCTGGCGACTTTGACGGCCACGCTTTCCAAGTCGAGCGGATTAAGAGCTTTGCCTCGGGAGGAGTAGGGAAAACGCCCATGAAGCCATTGGACGGGCTTGAACGGCTCCAGCGCTTGGCAGCTCGCAAGAAGGCTGTATCAAAACTACTTGAAGCGCCGAACAAGGGGCCAGGATTTCGCGCCTGTCGGCCATGAGGTTTGCATGGGTCAGCGTTCAGCGTTTGCACTGGCGACCAGGCGGGCACTGTTAGACTCGAACTGACGAACTTGGAATCGATCGAGGCCGACTTGACGACAGTTTATTGGTCCCACTAAGCAGAATCCCCTAGTCGTAATACAGTAAACTACTGCTATAGTAGTATTATTTATAAGGCTTTTTTTATTATTAAAAAGTAACTATTATTAAAATATAGTTTTTATAAAGCTTATGCTTTTTATTAAATTTACTAGGAAATTATAACTAAGAATATTATAAAGTATATATTAAGAGATTATTATTAAAAGTAGTAAAATTTAGCTCTACTTTAAGGAAATTTAGCTTTACTATAAGGAAATTTAGCTCTTATAATAGAGCTTAATAATAATATATATAGTAACTAAGTAAAAAGTTAATAATATTATTAGTAATATAACTATTAATAATTTACTAGAGAAAAACCTTAGATAACTATAAATTATTATAAAAACCTAAATATTGCTAAGATATAGAATTATTATAGACATAGTTTACTGTACATTAACAACGTGCTCAGTGACTTTAGGGAGGCGGTGAAGGGAGATGTGAAACGGAACCACAACGCGCAACCGAACGTGTATAGAACACCTGAGGTTATGCTCCAGGCTCCTTGGAGTTACCCGATCGATGTATGGAACGTGGGGGCCATGGTTTGTCTCTCCATACATGCCGTGGGCGCTGGAGTTGATGTGTCGACTGATCGGCTCCATAGATCTGGGATGTATTCGAGGGCAGGTGGATCCCAGCCCTGAAAAAGAGCTGCTACACAACCCGGGCGCATCTTGCAGAAATCATTGCGCTTCTCGCTCCGCCGCCCCTGGATCTCCTCCAGCGGGGGGCCCGGAGCAAGGAGTTTTTCTCGAAGGACGATGAGTTTTTTCCCTTCTTTTTTGCGCTTCATAGACTGTCGGACTGATGTTGTCTTTTCAAACACAGGCCAATTGATTGCGGACTGCCCTATCCCTCGGGGCAATAGCCTGGAGAAGGCTGAGCTTGTTCTCGGCGGGAGGAACAAGGAAATGTTCCTTAGCTTTGTAAGGGGGGCATGTTGACGTGGCGGCCGGAGGACCGCAAAACTCCAAAAGAGCTGCTCGACGATCCTTGGCTGAAAACTTGGGAGATATCCGATTAGAGATTCGCAAAGGGGCAAGACGAAAGGAACTGCGTAATCGGGAGATTGGGGGCTTGGGAGATGTCCAAGGCAGGCAACGACGTGCAGCCCTACCCTACAGAGCTTTACAGAGAACCAGTGGAATCACACAAATGACATTGGGCCGCGTTAAACAATCGGTTTTTACAGGACTTGATGCTGTGGCTGTCAAGATTATATTGGTATAATCTGTTCTATTCTGCTAGCTGCTGCTCCATAAGACGTTGGCCGTTGATATAATTTATCGCAAGTACATCTACCAGGTGTCGGTGCAGGTACCAAGATACCCGGCAGCTAGCAGCTAATGTGCTGTACTGCGAAGTAACTTGTACTTGGTGCAGAGCCAGATGCGTGTCGACTGCTCGGATGTGCACTGTGCTGGACCAACGCTGGCTGTGTTGATTGTTTGGATGCGATCATCAACCCACACCAATACAACAGCTTGTTTGTTCTTCGACACTCACATTCGAAATCCCATGGTGTCCTTCCTCCCCAACAAATCTTCCGCATCCATCATCCATGCTGACGTTGCGAGAATTCGGCAGTTGAAATTACAACAACGCACTCGTAAGGCCATGGCACCCAAACATCGCGACACATGACCACCCACCGCGTTGAGAGCAATCACCAGACACCTCGCTATTCGCAACGCGGCACCATGTGCTCTGGAGGCAAAGGAGAAGAAGACGACGCGGCGCCAAGGCCCGCTCAGCAGCAGGCACAGCGTCCAGGCCACGTCAAGGTCCCTTTGCTGATGGCCTCGTCCTCACCAGCCGCATCGTCATCGTCATCGTCACACCAGCAAACCTACGCACCACCGTCGGGACCTCCCCCCTCTTACCACCGCCAGCAACACGCTCCTCCCGCACGACCACCGCCCAGCCAGCAGCACGGCGCCGCATCACCCGCCTCGGGCCAGGGCGAGGATTGGGCGGTCCCCCCTCCGCCAGAGGCCCCCTCGTCCCGGGTCAAGCCCCAGCACGACTGGGAAGCCGCCGTGCCCGACACGTCTCTTCTCCCTCCCCCGCCAGACATCTTCAGCGGACACGACTCCTCGCCCGTCAACAATGCTTCCGAGGCGGAAGCCGAAGCCGGAGAGGCCTGGTGTGCGCGGCGCCCCCTCGGCCGGCCCGTCCATCTCGACGCCGCCTCCAAGACGGCCCTCGACGAGAACGACCTCGACCTCCGGAAGCCCGACGGCTTCGCCGGCAAGCTCAGCCGCTCACGCCCCGGGCACTGGAGCGTCTCCATACAAAAGGGGGCCTCGTACAAATGCATCATCGGCCACCCGCCCGTGTACCTCGCGCGCTGCGGCCGCGGCCAGCCCAAGACCATCTACTACGAGGTCAAGCTCGGCCCGGGCAGCAAGAGCGCCAACGTGGCCGTGGGCTTCGCCGCCCTGCCCTACCCGACGTCGTTCCGCCTCCCGGGCTGGCACCGCGGCAGCCTGGCCGTGCACGGCGACGACGGCCGCAAGTACGTCAACGACCGATGGGGCGGCAAGGACTTCACCCGCCCCTTTGTCGCGGGCGAGACGCTGGGCGTCGGAATGACCTTCACGCCGATGGCGATGGCGACGGCGACGGGCACGCCGCGCCCACCACACGTGTCCGTGTCCGTCTTCCTCACCAGGGACGGCGTCCGCGCAGGCGCCTGGGACCTGCACGAGGAGACCGACTCCAAGCAGGACCTGCCGGTGACGGGGCTCGAGGGATTCCACGACCTCTGCTGTGCCGTTGGCGTGTTCGACGGCGCCGAGCTTGACGTCGTTTTTGATCCTGCCAGGTGGAAGTACCGTGTGTAGCTTGTGCCTGCGTGGGCGCTGCCGCCGCCGGCCTCTTGACCACTGACTGACATGTGGCCGTTTAGAGGGCGCCTGGTTGGCCCTCTGCATGTGCAAAAGGCCGAGTGAAGGATATGCGCACACAATCTCGAGTTGCCGCATGTATGCTGGGCATGTTGTACAATGCTGCTCTGCGGTAATGCAGAAGAGCGGGAGGGACGAGAGGAGCCTACAATCATCGTCCCCTTCCCGGCCAATCTTGTCTAGGTCACAGAAATTTCGGACATCATCAACACTGGCTTCGAGGCATCATTGTTTTTACATCTACAATGAATATTTTCCGTCTGCTTGCGTGCTCCCGAATAGGCCATCACTTCATGCAGTACATGTACATTTATATGAACCCAGCACGCGGGGTCCCTCGACGCCGTCGTCGGCCGTCAAAATATCTTTGTGATGCTCTCCCTGACAATGACGCTATTCTGAGTTGCGTCTCGCTTGACACGGAAGAAGCTGTCACAGAAATCACTGCACCGCATGTGTCTTAGAAACTCCTCGTCGTGCGTAATAACAATAAGCTGAAAGTTACTCTGCGCCTGCCTCGTCTTGATAATCATGTGAAGAGACTCGGCCAGGCTCTTGATGTTGTCGCGGTCCAGGTTGGTGGTCGGCTCGTCGAGGGCAATCAGCCCGCAGTTTACGCCGAATGACTCTGCAAGGGCGAGGCGGATAATGATGCTCGCGAGGACCTTTTGGCCGGCCGAGCAGCGGCCGCGCATGTCCATTTCCGTGTCTTGTTTGACCATGCAGAGACGGTAGTTGTAGTTGCGCTTTCCCGAGGTCGACTCGTTGTCGGAACGTATGAGAATCGTGTCAATGTCGGTGCCCTGGTACGTGGACTGCCAGAGTTCGCCCGCGATGCGGTTGATTTCTGCCATCTTCATGGAGTGGAATTGCATCACGGCCTTGTCGACGGCCGCTCCGCACTGGGCTAGATCTTCGATGGCGGCTTTGGTGGTTTCGACGCGGATATGGGACTCGCGGTACTTTTGTTTGGCCCCCTTGTAGTCCATCTCCCACTCTTGTAGCAGCCTGCCTAGTTCTTCATCCTTGGTCTTCATGGTGCCCATGACGGATCCTCGTTCAGCGAGCAGGCGGTTGGACTGATTCTCAAGGCTGCGGGCTTCACTTTGCAGCCGTTCGTAATCTTCGTGAGCGTTGCGCTCCTCGAGTTCTTCAATCTCGCGCCGGAGAACTTCCAACTGTCGCAGGTGTTTCCGGTAGTGGAGATTGTCGCTTATGTTTTTCTTCATGCGGTCACCGCTGTCAATATCTTGCTTCAACTTATTTGCGCGAACAGTCAGGTCCGCAATGTCCTTTTCAGTGTTGCTGATAGACTTTTCCAAGGCTGCTATTGCCCGCTGATTAGATGCCAAGTTTGAGGGTCCCCCTTGGTCGTTGTAGTCCTGTATGTCATTATCGAGCATTTTGATTTCGCTGACAGAGTTGGCAATCGCGTCCCGTTCGTCGATAATCACTTGCTCCTTGGCCCGGCCTCTTCGCAGAGTTTCGTCACGAGCGGATCGGGCATCTACGATGCTGGGCTCCACCTTGTCAAGCTCCTCGTCTGCGCGTTGGATAGTCTCCCGCTGATGGGCCATGTCGTCTCTGAGGGCCTGTATTTGATTCTGGATATCATTTTTCTTGTCCAACTGTCCAACCGCTCGTCCAATCTTGTTTCTGAGTTCGCTTCTTTCAAGCTCCAAAGAGCCTAGTTGGTCCTTCATACGTTGTCTATCCGTGGTCAGTTTGGCCACCCGGTTTTTCAATGCCCTCATTTGTTCCCCAAGGCTAGCCTGCACCTCATGTATCTCTTCAACACTTCGAGTGGCGCCGCCGCCAGACAGCTGTTGTGACATGATGCGCTCTACCTGACTCTCGGAGTCTTGAATGTCTTTCATGAGCTGGGAGATGCTTGAAACAGTCTTGGACATGTCATCCAAGTCGCGCACTCGCGCGTCCTCACCAGCAACTCTTGACTCCTGCTCTTCTAGTTGCCGTTCAAGAGCGTCACACTCGCTCTCAACCGCCTTGCACTCCTCACGTATAGACGGAAGCTCTGTAAGAAGTCGCTTATATGTGTCATAGCTAGATCGAACTGAGCGAAGCGAATCCAGGGTAGTCATGGTTTCCTTTAGGTCCTTCTCCACGTCAACCTTGCCCTTGGGGTCGAGGTTCTTCTCAATCTTTTTGCTAAGACGGTCCAGACTAGCGCTTTGACCATCGTCGAAATGTCGCTCGCAGAGCAAACAGCGCTTCTTCGACTGCAGCATTCGCTTGCACTTGTTGTAATAGTCTACAAGTGCATCAAATAGACTCAGCTCATTACGGAGGTCTTCGACCTGTTGTTCCACCGATCCAACCTCTTCGTTATAGTCATCAATGGTTGCGCCGTCTCGCACCTCGTGGAGAGCAGCCACCACTTGTTTCCTGCACGTTTCCGCGTCTAGGGACTTGGACTCTTGGGACTCCTTGGCATTTTTGAGCCTGTATTCGAATTTCTGGTGTTTCTGCTTGATTTGCTCCAGACTGCGGCGAGCGTCTTGGAGTGCCTTGTTTTGCTGGGTCACAACTGTCTGGAATTTTGCTTCCAATGTGTCAAGCTCCCATTCATCGCCGATTGCCGCAGCAAGCTTAGATTTCCATGTAGTAGTTAGTGTCTCGAGTTTCCGTTTTCTGTCTGCGACTTCCTTCTTCCTATAATCAAGTTGTGCTCTTTCGGAAGCAAGACGAGTGCATTCGACTAGTTCTCGTCCAAGCTTCTCGTTCTCGGTTTCGAGTTGCCATAATCTGTCGTTTTCGTCAGAAATCTGCTTGTCCCAGTTGGCCTGTTCCATCTGGGTCTGGGCCCTGGTAAAACGTCCGCATATATCTTCCAGCTGGCCATCCAAGATGGCCTTGGCCCCCTCGTCAACGTCAATGAGAGTGGCTTCATTTTGCAGGACACTGGTGCGCTTTTCAATGGCTCCGATACGTTGCTTCGCCGACACGCGGTCCTGGGTTCTAGCAGCTTTTCGACCCTCCAGCTCCGTAATTACTCCAGTTGCCCCATCCAGCTCTGCGGCGTTTTCCTTCTGCAAACGCTCAAGGTCTCGTTTCTTCTCCGCCAGAAGTTTCTGGATTTTCTCATTGAAAGACTTGACGTGCTGTTCTGTCAAGTCACTGTCGTATCCTCGGAAGCCGTGTGCAGCTGCGGCTTCTTGCACCACCTGCATGCGGGCTTTTACTTGCCGCTCATATTTATCCTTGTCCGACTGATGTTTACCCTGTTCAGCAAGTCTTGTGGATAAGTTCTGGCGGGAGTCGGACAATTCCTGTTGCAAGTCGCTGTACTTGGCCTTGCTCTGCTCTGCTTCTTCTCGGTATCGCTCCATGCTTTCTTCGTATTGAGCGAGTGCAGTCTGAAGAGATGCGTCGTCCTCATGAAGTTCGTGGAACGCCTGTTTCAGCTCGTTGACGGCGTCTTGCCTGTACTCCAGTTGTTCCTTCTTGTTACCGAGGTTCTGAACAATTTGAAGGAAACTATTTGCCTGCTCATGTTTGCGGCGAATCTTATTCTGAGTCTCCTGCATCTCGGCCGACAGAGTCTCGCACTTTTCCCGCGCGTCCTCAATTTCGGTCTGCAAACCGGTCATTCGCTTTTCAGCCCTTTCGCCCCGGTCTTTATTGGCTCTGTTGTGTGCTTCATCGTTTTGTAACTGGCCCAACTGCTCCACATGCTTCTTGCGCAGGACCTTCAAGTTGTCAATGGCCTTGGTATACTTGAGGGCTTCGAATATTTCATCAAATCGCTTTTTCAGGGCGGCAGGCTCACTCAGTGGCCACAAAGACTCATCCTGATGACAAAAGATGACTGCATCGAGGATAGCAGGCGACACGCCGAGTCTCTCTGGGATCATTTCGTCCAGCTGGGCTTGCCTTGTCGAGGTTGTTGTTCGCTCGCCATTGTTCATTACGACGAGGGAACAATCAAGGGTTTTTTGAGACCGAGTCGTCTTCTTGACCGTCAACTGTAGGCTGCGGGTGGCGACATGCTGGCGGTCGTTGATGGAGCGAAATTGTAACTTGACCTGAGCCATGACTTCTTTCTCTCCACAGAGCTGGATAATATTAGCGCAAGAGCCTGGAATCGAAACCGAAGTGTGATCATGACAAGAGGGTACGACACAACTGAGGAGCAGACATCTTACCTTGGGGTCGTGAATAAACGCACCACCTTTGCTGTTTGGCGGCAGCTCCCCAGTAGTGGCATACTTTAGACACTCGATGATGGTGGTCTTTCCAGATCCATTGTATCCGACAATCAAGGTCAAGGGCGTATTGAATTGTATAGCCTCTCTGACAGAGGGACTAAAAGACCGGACCCCAGAAATGGAGAGCTTATCGATTCTCGACATGTTGGGCGATGTGATGCATTGATTCCAGGGCCACAGTGGAAATTAGGTTTCTGATTCACATTTGGGTGTCATCAGAAGTTGTTGGCTTTTCAAGCGTGTTGTCGATCAACCTGTGAGCAGTTCTCGGTCGCCTGGGCCGGCTTGGACCTGTGCATTTTGCTGGCGGAGTTGTATGAAAATGTGCCGATGCACGTTGAGAGACGCGCCAGGTAGCGGGTCACGCGTTCGGGTGTTGAGCTGGAGCGTCTTCACGTGCATGCGCCACGCTACTACCACGTCCGTCTGCTGCGCCACAGATCAAAGTCCCCGCCACGGAGCGCCGAAAATTGGGCGTAAAAGGTGAAGTGTTTGGAAAAAGGTCAGTAACTTGCAATGCGAATGCGGCCAGAAATGGAATCCTCTCACAAGTATTGCGTACACGTACAGATAAACTACTCGTCAGACGTGCACGCACGCCGTAGCAACGCGGCCAAGTAGATGGCGGGAGCATTTCCTATTGGTGCGGAATGCAAGCGGTCTTCATTTCCACGATAAAATCCGGATATTAAGTACCTAGTACGGAGTAGTGATTACGGAGCAGTACTCCCGCGTCCGGCGTAGTTAATAATATCTAGCTAGCAAGGTATGAATATATTGACGCCACAGGACCGATCAAATCGGAGAGTTAACGTGGATGTGGCCAGTTCAGGTTGGGGCCCTTGGATCCCTGCTGAAGCGGAGGTCGCTGTCACTCGTCAGCTCGGACCTAGTGGCAACCAAGCGGCGAGGCACGTCCCTGATGATGGTGCCCTCGAGCTCGAGGCACAAACTTGGTACTTTGCGAGGCTGGCAGTGTTGGACCAGCCTTCCTCCATTAAGTACTTACGCGGACGCAGGTCGTGCGTACGGAGTACTCACTCGGGTGGTCCCTGAAACCTCGACCCCTGTTGAGGAGGGGCAAAGGGACAAGATGAAAGATGACAACTTTGCTTTTTATTCAAGACGACAAATATAATCTGACCGATGACAAGTCAACCTGTCAACTGGCCCTCTCTCCGTACCGAGTAGAATCCAAGCGTGTCGGGAGGCGAGAGAGGAGGGATTTGATTTGGTGCGAATGCGGCGCAGGTGTCCCATGCGCCGGTGAGGGGGGAAATACTCTCGCAAGATGTCGACATTGGTTGGTGGAGCGCCTGGTGTTTGACGAGTCGTCCAAGTCAACATGAGGATGCGACTGCGACGGAGTCTGTCGTAAGTCAGTGAGTGAGTGAGTGAGTGGGTGAGCGAGTGAGTGAGCGAAAGTGACTCCGCTCCTCCCTTTTTTTTTCCCAACTTAGAAACATGGACTTTTTGCCTTTCCCCATGTTCCATCGCAAATGCTACCTGCGGTCTCTTATCAGTTCCGAGACGAGAGCACACAATTAACGTTACCCCGTACTACCACTCCGTTCTCCGTAGTGAGTACTCCCTGGGTACGCGGTCCCTCGTTGCCAGGTTTCCAATCCACATGTTGCCGCATTCTTCCTTTGCGCTGTAGCACTACAACTCCGTACAGCATGATTCTCAAGCCTCCGCGACTCCGCTCGATTCCTCGAGTGGCAGGTTGGCAGGCTACCAGTCCTCTCGCCCTCATTTCGCCTCGAATGATCCTCCAACGTGACATGAGTTGACAGTCACCCACACCAGGAGCACCGCGCGGAGTAATATAGCTCCATTCGTCGAGAACAACTGGATGAGGTAGCGACCAAGACGAGACACCAGGGAGGGCACCACCATGTCGGGTTCTTTTTTGGAGTGTGGGTGCGTGCACATGTGGTCGTTTGCCGGAGGGAGAACCTGGTCAGAATTTGGCCCGTCCCAGCTCTAGTTCGGCCCTGCCTATCATGCACTCACTTTGTTGCTGGGGACTCTGCTGTTCCTTTTCTTGCTCTCTCTCGCTTTTATTTTTTCTTATTTTATTTTTTTTGTTTATTTATTTATTGGGGGATATGGAAGGGGGGGGGGAGCAAAAAAGAATTCAGGTTGCTTGCCCGGTCAGCCTGACGACTCGGGCCAATGAAGAAGAACAAGGCGTAGCTTCTGACTGGTCGGCCAACTCGCCAGGAATGTCGACTGTGCCATATCTGCCTATCAATTCCAGCTCGAGTGCGTTGCCTTGACCGACCAGTCGAGTCGAGTCGAGTCGAGTCGAGCCTGGGATCGACGGTCCCACGACGTGAGCTTTGTTGGCAACAGCTCTCCGCTTTTTGCGGGCGTTTTGCTCCGAGCCAGTGGTGGCTTGCGGGAGCCAAGTGCGAGGCAGACAAAGGGCGAACGCCTCCAGAACTCCGCAAGGCAAACCCAAACCCAGGTTCCTGGGTCCCCGGCAACTGGCAACTGGCATTTGCTCCGTAGGGGAGGAAAAAGGGCGCGGACACCTTCTAGCCGCCTCCGCCCAGGCTGACGCGGCGACAAGGGTCAAGACTCGAACTGGCTTGTTATAGCGCCCGTGATTTGCTCACGTCTCCTTGATGGCGCATGCATGTGTAGGAAGTTGGCTTGAGCGCGCCCGGCATGGGCACTGGCGTTGGCGTTGGCCTTGATCACTAGTCCCAGCCTAGTTCTCGGCGGCCCTGTAGCCTTGCGGGTGGCGCTGTGGCTCCAGATGTCTGCATCCCCGCAGCCCGCCAGCCCGCCCGCCTGCCTGTCCGCTTCGAGTGCATGAGCATCTGGACGACTTGTCCGGTACCGCACGGAGCACTAAGAGGTATTCCGTACCCAGGTACCTTCCAAGGGCCACTTGGTTCAGCACTGGAGAAACTGCAGCGACCTCCCTCTTGCATGCATTGCTCACTTACTCCATACTTAAGTATGCTGGAGTCTTCCGTCTGAGAGGTACTTCAGTGGGAAGAGGGCCCAGTGGACACGTACTGACAAAGTACTTCGTACCCTTTCCTTCCTTTTTTTATTAGTTTTAATTAACTCCTTCCCCGTCCTTTGCAGGAACGGTACTAGTACTCGGTACCAAGTACACGTCCAGGTCTCCATGGCACTCTTATAGAGAGTAGCACACGCTGCCGCTCAGAAATCGTGCATCACCACACTACTCCGTACTCTCTTTATTCTTGCCCTTCGTGCTCCCCGTTAGATCGCTCAACGACTTCGTTTGCTCCTTCAACCTTCCGCACCTCGGGCCGTTTTGCATCGTTGGATTGCTCGCCGGCGCGACCAGTTTCGCCAGCATCGAAACGCTCTCGCGTCTTGCGGCCTCGGCCACCAGCGCCACCATCAAGGAGCCGCCAGCGCCCTACTCCGTACGGAGTACCGATATCCCACATCCCCTGCGACAAGCCCGTCGCCTGCGCCTGGTCTTGGTCGGCCACTCAACATTTCAACTGCTGTAATCAGCTATCCGCAGCACTATTATCAGGCGCACTGGTTCCCTCAGTTGAACCGCTCGCTATGTTCCCGTCACGGGACTGAACTTCGGCACCGACAACCCTAACCCTCATCCGATGCAGCTACCTTCCAGATAAATCATGTCCCACGGCCCGCCTCCACCGCCGCCCGCGGGCAATTTCTATGCTTTTTCTCCATTCAACCTGAACGACCTCTCCAATGCACAAAACTCTCAGGTTGGTACTTTTGCCTCCAGACACTTTGCCGCAGCTTCCGTTGCATTGTCAGCCCACCGAGAGCTGACAGAAACTCCTCCTTCTCTCTTGCACCACAGTATCCCGCCGGCGGGCCTTCCAGTCATGATCTCATGTCCTTTTTCGATGACGGGGATATCATGGACTCGTTTGGTGACGTACCCATGAACACTGACTCGGGAGACGGTGTACAAGTCATGTCTGTACCCGGCTCAATGCCCGTCAACACAAACGAGGACATCTCCATGATCAACGATGCCGACACGCAAACTTCTTCCTCCACCGTCACTCAGCTGCCCGTTGACCCGCTAGCTACCACGGCCGAGAATGTGCCCGGCGCCGGCCCCCTACCGCCTCGCGCCTTTGCGCAGATGAACCTTAATGGTGCCGGTGCCGGTGCCGGTGCCGGCGCCGGCGGTAACGCAAGCACGTTGACGGACTTTACGAAGCGGAGAAACTGGCCGGCCAAGGTGGTGGAGGAGCTCAAGGACTTCCTGCACATCCTCGACGCCAACGGCCGAATCAAGTATGCGTCCAGTAGCATTCTCAGCATTTCGGGATACACGGCCGCCGAGATCCAAGACGTCTTCTTGAAGGATCTGATCCACCCAGACGACCAGGGGGTTTTCGTTGCGGACCTCAACGAATCCATCGCCTCCGGTAATCCTCTGCGAATGTTCTACAGGTTCAAGGCCAAGTCTGGCTCCTACATCATCCTGGAGACTGTCGGCCATGCCCACATCGCGGCGGCCAGATTTGCACCCAACCCCAACAACCAATCGCCCTTCTGTCAGGCCGTCTTTATGATGTCCAGGACATACCCGACCAAGAACGCTGGGCTTCTCGACTCCTTTTTAGAGCACAAGATGGAGAACGAGCGACTGCGACGCCGTATCGCGGAGCTTCGCAGAGAAGAGGAGGCCGAAACCGAGGAATCCAACCGTCAATGGATGCAGAGTCAAGAGGGCCGGTCTGACATGACGCCCTCCGAGACCACAGGAGCGTCCACCCCGTTTTTCCGCCACGCCAGCTCGGCTGGCGATATGCAAGCAGACGGATCCGCGCTCACGAGGGAGAACCTCGAGGGGGTCGCTGCAGCCCGGAACTCGGACTCTCTGGGCGACAAGATGGCGCGCTACGAGGGAAGTACGCACGCGGAGACGATTGAGATGTTGACCGGACTGCGATATCTCGAAGGCGAACGCAGCAGAGGCATCACGACGGGCGGCAGCAGCCCGACGCTCATCAGGGGTGACGCCGGCATCGCGATTCCCATCGACAGGGATTCCAGAGCGGGCGAGAAGAAGAAGAAGCTGAAGACGGCAGAGGAATACGTCTGCACGGATTGCGGTATGGCTGCCCGGACGGAAACCGCCCATCAGTCGGGTCGTTTTTCTGTCTTGTTGACTTGACTTGACTTGCTGGCTTCTTTTCGTGATTGCTGACTGACCGACCGACTCTAGGGACTCTGGACTCTCCGGAATGGCGAAAGGGTCCCAACGGACCGAAAACACTCTGCAATGCCTGTGGCTTGCGGTGGGCCAAGAAGGAGAAGAAGCGAAACAGTGCGTCACAAAAGGTAGCTCTGGCGGACCAAATGATGGGATAGCTAGCACTGTCGCCAGTGATGGCTGGCTGGCTGGCTGGCGCTTGCTATGAGGCGACGGCGCTCGAGGTCATTGGCTGCTGATGGGTGACATGCGAGACTGCAGGGACACCAGATGTTGTACGACTTTGTTGGTGATGATATATGAAAGCGGCCCCAGCATTTGAGTATTGTTTTTTTCTTTCTTCATTTGCTTTTTCTCTTTTTTTGCTCTGGACTAGATGATGGTACAGAAAAGCATTCGGAACTGTATTTGCAATTGGATCTGGTTAGGGGAATCAGTTTCTCTTTGCACACCGTCCAATTCGAACGTTGTATGATGGGCATGATGATACCTTGGGGGAGTCGAGAAAATCGAGAGGCACGGTACACGGCGTGGGCTCTTTTTTTTTTTTTTTTTTTTTTTTTTTTTTTTGGGGTTTTTTATTTTTTTTTTTTTTTTTTTTTTTTTTATTTTTTTTTTTTTCTTTTTTTTTTCGCTTCCCTTTTTTTTTTTTTTTTTGGCTTGCCAATAAAAACCGACCACCACAACGCAAGGTGACAGACAGCCACGTGATTTCGCGCCCAAGTTGTGACGCATATTCTACTTTCTATTTTATTTTTATTGTAATGATATTTTTATATTTTCAAGCGGAGGAGGGAGTTTGGAATAGCGTGGATAGTTTCACGACAAGACGAATGATGAAACAAATGGGAGAACAACCCAGGAAAAAAGCCGCACATGATGACGCAAGTGCAAAAGCATCGAGGGCCAGATGTCATATAGTAACGTGGGAGACGGGAGGCCCGTGCCGGATTTCTTGTGAGGTCGTGATCTTGTGGACTCGGGTTGGGAAACCCGTACCTGGCTTGTCATGTTTTCGCCGGCGGGACATTAAAAACGGATGTCAAGCGGGTATGGGTTAAAGTTTGACCTGAGGCTGGCCGGCTCCGAGACAATTGGCAGCTCGGGAAGTTAGATGTGAATGAGTCGTCGACAAGACGGGAACGCGCAAAGTCTGGACAGATCCGTGCCCCCCCCCGCGGTCTCTCTCTCTCTTTCTCTCTCTCTCTCTCTCTCTCGGTATTGAACGGAGCAGGAGTGTCTTCGGCAGCGACATTTTGCATTTTGCACTAGACGTGTCCACACCCTGGCCCAGCTGCGTCGTGGAGCTCCGCCCCGCAGCTCTGCGTGACTGCCGTTTTAGACTTGGGCCACCTTGGACCATTTTCCTCGGCATGACCACGACAACGACCATGACGAGACGTGATTTGATCCGGGTTTCCTGGCCAGACCGGCAACAGTTTGAACTTGGCGACGGACCGGGGGCCACTAATCGTGCCCGCCCCACTTTATGTGGTTCGGCTAGCAAAAGCCCTCACCACCAAAGGTGGTGCTCGACAGCAAGGCGGGCCGGACACCAAGGCGGACCAATTTTCAACCTAGACGCGTTGAACCGCGAAAATGGCTGCAACTAGCGTCCAAACGGCAAAAAGCGATGTCGAATTACGTGTCAACGAGGCTCTTGAGTATATTGAGGAAAATCCAGGTGCAAAAATTCGCTCTGTGGCGAAGAAATTCAACGTGCCTCGTAGCCGGCTTCAACGACGTGCTAACGGCGTTCCTGCTAGGAAAGGCCATCCAGCAAGAAATACAATGCTTTCACGAGAAGAGGAAGTTGCTTTATGTAACTATATCGATCGCCTTGATAAGGCCAACTTCGCTGTACGACCTGAATTCATTACAGATGCTGCAAATTACATCCTAAAAGAGAGGGCATCGTCAACTGCCCCGCCTAGGCAAGTTGGAACGCGATGGACTACACGCTTTATCCAGCGGCATCACTATCATAAAGGTCTTCAAAAAAAGATTGATTCAAGTCGAAAAGCTTCAGAAGATGTGACAAGAGCTCTTTCTTATTACAACAAGCTTAAAGAGGCTATTCAGCAGTACGGAGTCCCTCCTGAAGATATCTGGAATATGGATGAGACTGGCTTTCGTATTGGAATGGGAAAGGACCATTTAGTTGTTACAAAGCGAAGAAGAGCGCATCTATTTTCAATGCCAGAAAACAGGGAGACTGCAACAGCAATAGAATGCATTTCTGCTGGCGGCAAAGTTATTCCTGCCTTTCTTATCCTTACAGGGCAAAAACACATGGAGTCCTGGTATCGGATAAAGGAGCTTGAAGCTAATACCAAAATAACAGTCTCACCAACCGGCTTTACGAATGACGAAATTGCAGTTGCTTGGATACAGCATTTTCAGGAATTTGCAACGCCAATAGGCAGATATCGCCTTTTAATCCTAGATGGCCACGGATCACACCATACAATTGAATTCGTTGAATACTGCGAACAGCACGATATAATTCCCTTTGCGTTGCCCTCGCACCTTACACACATCCTTCAACCTCTTGATGTTGTGATATTTCAGCCACTAAAGCATTATCATGCAAAGGCGTTGGATATCATTGTTCGAGACGGCGTGTTGAATATTACAAAGATTGAATTCCTTGCTTGCATTCAAGCTGTACGAAAACAAGCTTTCAAGACTACTACTATTCTCACAGCCTTTCGAAAAACTGGAATTTCACCCTACAATCCACAGCCTGTAATTGAGGCCCTTGAACAACGAGCTGCAATTTACACATCAACACCATCGCCGCCGCCGTTATATCACAACAACTCTTCCGACTTTGAGACGCCCACAACACTCAGGCAGATAAATAAGGTTGCCAACAAGCTAGGGGAGGTATTAGAAGACGATACATCCCTTGAGCCTGAGTTTGCACGCAATATCAGTCGTTTTATCCGCGGCTCTCTTATTGCAGCTACTGAGCTTATACAGACGAAGAGAGACCTTGGGCGTCTCCCGTTTTTCCTTTCCATTCCCAATCCCAGTTACATAATTAGTTAGTCTTGGGCCTCGAGCCTCTTCTTTTGGCTTTCGCCCTCTGCTTCTTCTCTTCACCTCCATCTCAGCGACAACATCACCATCCCGCCACGTCGCCCGACACCACGTACATCTAGTCGTCATCCATCATGGACAAGCTCCTCAACGTCGGAAAGGACATGCTCCAGCAGCGGCTGTCTGGCCAGGGGCAGGGCCAAGGTGAGTGGCGAGCTTGTGAATTGCGCCTTGACGACGATGACGACGACACGGGGGAGCAACCACAATGGGCACTGGGGATTCCGTCTCGGTTACCGCAGCAGAGGAGTCGGAATTCCCAGCGCCTACTTGTTACGCCCCCTCCTCCTCCTCCCCCTCCTTTCTTTCTCTGACGAGAAGCTACCCCACCATCACATGCCGCTCCTCGAGCAAGTGAGGGAGGGTGGAGCGCCGTCGTACAGCTACAACTACTCCCAATTTTAATTTTTTGTCCGTCGACGTGGTCATTTATCGTTGGGCACTGGTCTAATACGAATTCGCGCCACAGGACACTCCAACAGTTTGTACTACCCCGCAGCGGTTGCACCGGCCCCCCCCCCCGCCGAGCAGCTAGCTAACAAGCAGTCAAGATCAGGGCGGCGGCAACAACCACGACAACAGCGGCAGCGGAAGCGGCAGCGGCAGCGGCAGCGGAGGATTCCAAAATGACATCCTCAGGATGGCGCAGCAGCACGCGTCCAGCAACGCCGGCAGCTCCGGCAGCAGCGATTTGTTCTCCAACATTATGAGCGCCGTCGGGAACAAGCAGCAGAAGATTCAAAGCGAGGACATTGACGAACAAGGTGGGTGACAATGACAATAACCATGATAGACAAGAACCGTCCTTGCCCTGTCCCGCCTCGGCCGTCGCAACTGACCGTCGTCGTCGACAGATGCCATCAAGCAGCACAAGCATGCCTACGACAACGACGGCAAGGGCGACTCCAGCTCGCTCGGGACCGCCGCCGCCATTCAGGCCCTCAAGAAATTCAACCAGTCCGACAACAGCGCCAGCTCAAAGACGGGACAGGCTGCGTTCCTGGGCATGGCCATGTCCGAGGCTAGCAAGGTGCGTCCAAGAAGAGCCGCGGTGCATTGTTGAATGTAAAAAAGGAAACCAGCACACAAACGAGCATCTACAGTACAGTCCCCTGCTGCGTTGGCTCAAAAGAAACTAACGTGTCCTCGTTCCTCTTGTAGCTCTTCGACTCCAAGGCTTCGCAGGGAAAAGTTGCGGACGGAGCTAGCAAGGAGAGTGCCGTCCAGCAGGCCGCCGAGATGGCCATGAAGATGTACTTCAAGAGCCAGGCCGAATCGCAGGGCGGGCTGGCCGGGCTGGCCTCCAAGTTCATCAAGTAGAAAGGGGCAAGTGGCCTGGTATATGTGGCCTGCGGAGGTTGCACGGCGAACGGCACCGGATGACGAGAAAACAGACGTCCAGCCCTGTCCTTTTTTCTCTCTCTCTCTCTCTTCTTGCTAATTGCTTACGCCTGTGCTGGGAAACTTGGGGCGACGTAGTGTGCGTGTGCTCACCATGTGACATGTCCCAGTGTAGCAAGTAACGGCGGGTTGGAACGAATGTTCTGCCAAGAAAGAAGAGGCGACACAAATAGTAGCTGCCGGCAAGAGGCCGCCCTCGGCCAAAGCCCATGACACGGTCGTGCGCGGTCCCAACAGCAAGCACCCCGCCGCCTCGGGCCGCGACGCGCGGTTGTGCGAGCGCGTGCCTGGGATACGTGGCTTTAGCAGCAGCCCATCTTTTGGCGAAAGGCGTCGTTGCGACATCAGGCGCGGGCGCTTCACGGCGACGTGGATGGAGACGGACGGGCCCGACACTTTCTCGGGCGGCATCGGCGCTCGCTCGGTGCACAGGCTCGCCGGCAGAGATGCACATGCACGTCGTCTGAAAGCGCGCAGACGCCTCATCTTGCTGCAGGCCGCACGCCGATACAAACGAAGAGCTAAAGAGTGTTCGACTACACCCAGTCTGGTCTGATGATACACGCGCGTGTCCTGATGCCTCGGCGAGGTGTCCCGTTCCCGCTCCCGCTCCCGTCCGCATCAATCAACCTTGTCCTTGTCGGCCTGACGTACCGCCAATGCCATCACGTCCAGCCACGAGCCGGGCCTTCTTCTGCCTTCCTCGTAAACCTGGTGCAGATACTCCTCTGCCTCACCCGCAAATGCCAGCAGCTGCTCTTCACTTCCCCATTCACCCGTAGCCATCAGCCCGACGGGGACCTTGCCTTGCCCCTGTTTCGGCGCAGCATACCCCACGGGCACTGAAATGGACGGCGTGCCCGTCATGTTGGCCAGGAAGATGTACATCATGTTCCTAAACGTCGTGTTCGCGTCATTCATTCCCTGCGCCTCGTCGCCGGGGTGCTTGGGCCAGCCGTTGAGAGGCGTGGTTGGCGACATTATGAGCAGACCCGGGTATTCTTGAAATAGGAACGCGACGTGGCGCATCAGAACCGTACGCAGCGTGTTGAACTTGAGGAAGTCGGCCGCGGGCGTCTGCTGGCCAACAGTCATGAGTAGCCGGTTTGCAGAGCCCACCAGCGAGAGCCAGTCTGCCGGATCAACAGTTCTTCGACGGGCAGCCTCGGCCATTTCGGTGATGCAGATCATGCCGTGGGCGAGCTGGGCCTCGGCAAGGTGAGGAAGCGAAATGTCGACAATCTCGTAGCCTCGCTCCTTGGCAAAGTAGTCCAACGCTTTGTCGCAGTGCTCCATTACTTCAGGGTCAGCCGCCTTCAGCCACTCGCGGTACACGCCCATGACACGCGGGGCGGATGGTCGAGGCGGCGTAGAGCGGCCAAATATACCTTGGATGCCGTCATCGGGGTTTGGCTGCGACATGAGCCGATAGGCAATGGTCAAGTCTGCAACGTTGGCTGCCATGGGACCTGTGATACACATGGTGCTGCCCATGTACCCCGTTCGGTGGTGGGATGTCTTGAGGCCGTACAAGCCGTTAAAGCTGGCCGGAATACGGATACTACCGCCGGCGTCCGTGGCAACGGAAAAGGGCACCACGCCTGCACAGATGGCAGATGCCGGCCCAGAGGAAGATCCGCCGGGGTAGTACTCGGTATTGAGGTGGTTGGTCGGCGACCCTTGCGCGAGCTAGATGACATTGGGTGTAAGTTTGCTATATATGGTGGGTGGAGAGTAAAACGACCGCGTGAGCCGGTGCTTACATTTAGACCGCAGGTATCTGTGAAAGGATTCGTGAGCATGACCACTCCGTCGTCGCTATCAAAACTGCAACAGATGGCGAGGGAACTGACCTGAACCAAGCTCATGCATACGATTCTTGCCAAGAACCACAGCTCCAGCATCCTGAAGCACCTGGACACACCAAGCAGACTCCCCCTGTCTCTGAAAGAAGGGCGAATTGGCACAATATTTCATACCATTATGGTTGACATAGCCCTTGACATTCACATCGTCCTTGACGCCGATTGGCACGCCGTCCAGAATACCCAGCGGCTTGCCGGCAGCCCATCGATCTGTCGACGCCTGGGCAGCCTCGAATACCATCTCGTCGTTGCCATGATTGTCCGCCCACGCGTCTTCGTACTTGCCCTTCTCGCCCTCTCCAGGTTTGGTCAGGGGTAGAAGAGCCTTTGCGACGTCGAGAGGAGTGGCTTTGCCCGACTTGTAGAGTTCATGATAGTCCTTGATGGAGTAGTACTTGGCTTCGGGACTGACATGCTTAGCATCCAGCAGTGCAGACTCAAATTCAATTACTGGACCAGTGTCGCCCCACGGGATCACGCAGGGCTGTGTAGTCCAAAGTTCAAACCATCAATACCAGTTACTGTCAGACGGGGAACCTGGCTTGTAAAGAAAAGAACCAAGGTTGCATCCCGTGGGATGCCGAGGGACTGTCGACTCACATCATAGGTTTGCGGAACGTCATCCAGGACTGCAAGGTTCTTGACCTGCCCGAACCCCGCATTTTGCCAAAAGTATCGCTGGAGAAGTCCGAATCTTGACACTCTTTACGTTGAGGGATTGGGTCCGAGTCAGCATATATCGTACCCGGGGTATACTTGTCAATACGCACAGAGCGCTGGCAGCGACGAGCGAGTACCCGCGCAAAACGGGATTCTTCGCCGGGGGTGGCGCGTAGTCAGTTTCTGGGCCTTCCACAGGCTTCGGATAGTTGACAAAGACGTTGGATGATGCCATTGTTGCTGCGTACGATCGCCAAGGGTCTATGCCGTGGAGGTCAGTCGGGCCTCTGGCGAGAAGCTCGACAGTATCAAGGGCGTCGTCGCAGTCACTGGTCCGAAAGCCTGGCTCGCTCCGAAAGCTGGACAGATTGGCCGCGCAACGATCTTGTCGTTTGTTCCTGACCGAGGGTGGCGCTGGGCTGACGGAGAGCAACGAGAAACACCAACTCAACAGTGTCGAGAGGCACATGTAACAACGGATTCCTGGGTAGGGGAGATACGGGACAAATAACAGTTCCCATCGCCTTCGGAGGTGGCGCCAAGGTCATGGCGCCGACCATTTTTAGCTCGCGAGGCGGATAGTTTGGCAAACCGAGCCCAAAAGTGGATGAAGCGGGATACGGGGCACCTGGTCAACGACCAAGAAGAGCACCATGTGTATGGAAGCCCGGAGGACAAGGCGAGGATATGTAAGGTCTGTAATGCCTGCATCATTTTAAGCTGGGATCCTGCCCGGGTTGGCTCCGATCTCCGAGCTGGAACGCCATGGCCGTGGCAGTCTGAGGCAACTGCTGTCGGGAAGACAATTTGCTCTTTGCTCGAGATTGGTCAGCTCGCTCTTCAGAGAAAGCGAAACTGTCGGCGGGATTGCTTTCTGCAGTCTCCTGCAATTACCAGGACGCAATTCTTGAACTGGCGTTTTGCGTGGCAGAGAAACCTGGATGGGACCGATACCGATACTGACGACGTACACACATCCATCCCGGCCGGCCATGCAAGAGACAATCGGCAGACGGCAATAACGACCTGGTAGCCTGGCGACGTCTTTGTCACCGACGGGCCCGTAGAGTGCCAGACGGTTCATTCCGCCAAAAAGGAGTCGAAAAGCATGATTACTGTCGGTCGCTTGATTGCCTCTGCGACTTGTGATAACTCCCGGACCGATGTGTGTCGACTAATGAATGACTTATATACTCGATGAACCAACACACAGTTGTTCAATGCGCCTGCGAGTAGCATTTACGCTGCAGCTGCAGGGTTTCAGTGCAATAGAACGATGCTGATTACCCCGGAAACAAGATGTTTGTCCACTGTGTCGTACCGCCCTCGCTGCCGCTGCCATTGCTACTGCGTGTTTTTTCGAGGCAACCAAGTCTTGGGCCCCGTGCCGCCGCCCCCTGCACCTCTCTGTCTTTTGCTGATGCATTGTCAACTCCAGCTTTTGCCAGGGCCCAGGGCCAGCAGCAGAGAGCACATGGTGACCTAGACTGCATACGGAACAGAAGGGGGGAGTCCGTTCTGGTTCAACTGTCGTTTCAGATGTTTGTTCTCCGCGCCAAGCGCAGGGATACTTAACTGATGGGACGGCGGGATTACGCCATGTAGCTAATGCGTCCGATGTACGAGACTTGGCTGGTCTGTCTGCTGGCCAGCCTCTCTCCCCCGTCACACCAGCAGGTTGGCGATGATCCACAAGCGGGCCACTGGACGGGGACAGACGCATCTTGAGGAGCCACCGTTCTGAGTCACCCGTCCACATCAACCCCGTGCAGGAACGAATTGGCAGCACTCGGAGTGGCAGGCAGCCAGGCCCATGAGTAGTACTAGTAGTGGTAGTAGTTTTCGACGTGTCAGCCCGACAGAAGATTGTGGTGTGGGTTTTGTGTTGGATGCGCGAATATGCATCTTGGCGCGTCGTCCTTGTGGGCTTGTCCGACGCGACACCAACGACGTTTGTCTCTCTGTTGCCTGTACAAACCAGTAGGGAAATACTCCGTAGACTGAAATGAAATGTCATGGTGCACTGCAGTACAGTCATTGTGTGCTGTAGATGACGACGAACGACAAAGGAGTCCAAGTTGTAAAAAGGTGTGGGCAGGGTTTATTATCGTGGGGGTGCTGGCCGAGTTGCGCCTCACGTCTGGCATTGGCTTGTCTGACACTGTGCACCCCGGTACGGAGTACCTACCTGCAGTACGGACTCGGCAGCTACTCGTACGTACCGGGTCCGGAGTACGGAGTCTCCGTGGCTCCAACTTCCAGTCAGGCAAGGGCCAGGTAGCGTAGCGTGCTAGTGGCACGACCATCAGTCAAGAGTCAAGAGTCCCGACAGGACTCAGGACTCAGCACGTGGATCCGGTGCGTGCCTACAGTTTCAGCGAACACGACAGAGACTTGCGAGTCCAGTGTATTTCATGCCTTTCGAGGACCGCTGTGAGGATCAAGGGAAATGCCGCCAATTGCCACAGCGCACGCGCGAGTTGTTCGAACCACAGGCAGTCCAGGGTACCCAGTACTACTTGCTGAAGTACGGAGTACTTGAGTACAGTAGATACTCCGCATAGAAGTACGTAGTCCTGCGCGGGAAAGGCCGCCGACGCCGTGGGACAATTGAACCGGCCCAAGACGCCACACCTTTGCTGCCATCCGTCAGCGCCACCACCACAGCCTACCTCGCCTGGAACACCAAAGTCTCCCCCTCCTTTAGGAGACTGGATAACACAGCCCACCTGCACGTCCTTCAACCCTGCCCGCTGCCCGTTCGCTGCACACTTGCCCTGCCCTTGCCCTGTGTTAGTTACTCCGTGCCGCAACCTCCAAAAAACCTCACGCGAACCTCCTTACCTCCAACATCCTACTCCTCCTTTGCTTCCATCCTAAGAACCACAGTCTTTCGTTAAAAACATCGACCCACGGCCCGCTACTCATCTCCTCGTCCTCTCGCGTAAATTTCAAGCTCATCTCTATTTTCGTCACGCCCTCGCCGCCCTCTCCATCCCGGCGACGTCTCACTCCAAGTAGCACAGTCTTTTTTTCTACGGTACTTGCTCGTCGATTCCCCATTCAGATTGGCTCAACAACGCATCCATCATTCCGCCTCATCAGCGACGGAAGCGAGTTCCCACCGACTTCCTCGACAGAGGTCTTCGCCTCTTCACTTTTCACCCGATAGAGCCGCCTGACTCCCGGTCGGAGTCTACAAATTGCCCACCGTGGCTAGACTTGAGTCTCGCAAGTCTTTGCTGGGTGCCGACCCGGACTTTACTCAACACAACCAGCAATATAACCAGTCGTCGTCGTACGGAGGCCGAGGCAGCGACTACGCTCGAGACTACGGTCAAGCCTATCCCCAGCCTGCCTACCCCCAGGCGGAATATACCCAGCCTACATACACTCAGCCAACATACGCCGAGAATGCAAACCTGAACAACTACGATCAGGGATACGCCGGTCGACAGGGGTTTGCGTCCTCTGCTCCAGCCACGAGTATCAGTCGCGATGGCTGGGATTTCGTCAAGTCGAAATGGTGCGCGGCATTCATGGGCGTCACCACACTGCAAGCCATTATTTGCCTTGCTTTCGAATCCTACGTGTTTGCCAAGTTCCAGACGAGTTTGGGACCAAATGTCAAGGTCGACAAAGTTCAGTCTCAATACAAGACCATTCCGACCTTCCTGACCCTCTTCATCTTTGGCTTCTTATACGAACTCGTCATCGTTTGGGATGCTCTTCGCATGAAGAACACGATTCAGGTCATTGGTGTTTGCATCGCCAACCTGGCCCTTCTGGTCTACACTGCCCTTCAAGTAGACCAAATTGATATGGCCATCAGAGTTTTGGGTCAAAACGCAGCGCTGGAGGTTGGCGTCACCTCCACAGAACTCTTCGCCCAAGTCCATGCATTTCTCATTGCGATTCCTTCCGTCATTGGCCTTGCAACTGTTTGCATGAGTTTCATCTGCTGGAAGCTGTATCAAGAATTCGCGTGGGACATTTTGAAGAACATCGGTGCTGATTATCGCATGAAGAAGCGTTTTCTTCATTATCAAGTACGTCCCGTTTGAAGGACTGCAATTGCTATATATTCGATAGCTGACAGTGACCCCTTAGATTTATATTGCGCTTCTCAAGTTCGATTTCTTCTTCTTCCTGGGTTTCATCATTCAGTTCGTCGTCGTTGTTGCACAGAAATCCGACCCCGAGTTTGCTTTGACAATTGCGACCATTCCAGTAACTATCGTGATTCTCCTTGCCGCAGCCTATTGTACCCGCAGAGAGAACAAGCCCGGCATGATTTGCGTCATGATTCTGTTTCTGGGTGGATCATCCTACTTTGCCTTTAAGCTTGTTCGCATCTACCAACCCAGTCATAAGGAGTCCTACTTTGCCGTCCGCAAATCGCTTACAGCTTTTGCCGTCATCACCATCTTGTTGATCATCCTCACCATTACGAACGCCATCATATGCATGAGCAATTTCAACAAAGGACTCAAGGCTCACCTGTTGGCCGCGCGAAAGGTTGAAGAAAAGCCTGATGCAACTTCAATCAGCCTCCACGATGTTAAGCCACAGGTGGCAAGTCGCATGACCATTGACTGAATAGGTGGCCACACAAAAAAAAGGCATCAGACGCTGCCAGAAGCAAAACCGACAGGATTTTCGAAAAAAATGATCGAAAGAAAGAAACAAGAAAAAATTGGATATCATTGGAAAGTAAATTAGCGGGTCTGTGTAAAGATACGAGTCACGAGCGCCTTGAAAGAAGAAGAGATTCCCTGTCCTGAAGCTAGTATATCGTGGGGCTGGCTTCGCGATGGCAGCGACCCAGGGGCTTTACGTCGCGCATTTCATGGAGCGTCAGGCGATCGTACACATCCTTTCGATGGAAACCACTCGAGGATATTTGCTTTTATATTTCCTTTTATTTTGTATTTCCTTGATCTCTTGAGTAACGGCGTCGGTCTGTGGGGAGGCAGACAGAATTGCCCCTTGCACGATTTAGCAGCGGGGAGTTACAGGATACCACATACTGAGAATTCGTAGAGCAATTTTTTCACAGTATCAGTTTTTTTTTTTTTTTTGGAGGCCCAGCCAGGTCCAGTCAACGATAAAACCCTATATTGGGTTCCGATCTGGAGGGCTGATACTCGAGTATTTTTAGCTATCTTACTAGATGTGTTGGATAGGATCGATTGAAATCTGGGCGGGATAGGGACTTGGACGTTGATTTGATGGACGATTTCCTTGAAACTCTCATTTGCAGCCTCGACTGGATCATCTCGAATATAAGGAGTCACAGTAAATTTACATCACATCATATCACATTCTTTAACGAAGACGAAATGTGGTGTCAGGCTGTGAAATACGCTGTATCTAGTTGTCATTTCTTGTGTTCTGAAGAGTGGTCGAAACGAGCTTGTAACGCTGCGATTAGGTGGCGCAAATCCGGTGGAAGGAAAGAGAAATAAACCACATGGTGCCAACCAAGACGATACGAAACAGGTCTGACAGTCAACATGATCCAGCTCGTGATTAAAGACACAAGAAGCGTACGTCGCTACCGCCCATTTCGAAACGCCCAGTGAATGAGATGCCTCCTGCTTGCGGCCATTAAAAAAACAGAGAAAAAAAAAAGAAATAAGAAACAAGACCATGACTACAACGTAATCTTGATAGCGTCACGTAGGTGTCCCTCTGTGGGACAATATGGACACTTGTAGCGTGACCCCTTGGCCGCGATGTTCTGTAAGCTCTCTTTGCAGATGACGTGGCCGCAAGGGAGCATCATTGGCGGATTCTGCTCGGTGGTCTGCTCCTTACTCACGGGACAGACGAAGATGGGGTGATAGATCATGGATGGCGGAAGGGGTGTTTCGAAGGCGAGCTCGTTTTCGGTCGTCCACTCCGTCTTCTTTTCCTTCATATAGGTTGTGTATTTGATGAGACGGGGCAGGGCGATGGATCCAGCCGTGACGGCCATGTAGAGCGGTGATTCGGCGGAAAGTCCCAGCAGCGAGCAGAATTCGCGCGTGAAGGAGGTGGCGACGTCTTCGAAGGCGGAGTCGATCTCGAAAATTTGACGGTACGGAGATTCTTCGAGGTTGGGCGCGTACACCATGGCGCAGCAGAGCTGTTGAATCTCCTTGATGTGACGGGATTGAAAACGGCCAAAGTGCTGGCGGGCGTAGGCAAGCGCTCCCATTTGGCCATTGTATGCGTCGTCGGGGAGGCTGTTGACAGAAGGGCCTTTGAAGAGCCATACGAATTGTAGCTTGCTAAGTTCGAATTCGAGGTTGCTGCCCTTTGTTTCTAGTTTGGGGTTGTTGATGCGCGCCCATTCTATGGCTGGGACGAGGTTTCGCTCCTTGAGCTGTGCGAGGATACGATACATCTCGGAGAATTTATCCTGCAAATCTTCCGAGTGCAGTCCTTGCATGTCCTCGTCGTCGTCATCGTCTCTTTTCATCTCATCATCGCCGTCCTCGTCGATTCTCGATCTCTTGCCGCGGGATGAAGCGGAGGCGTAGTCTTGTTCGCGGCGTTCTTGCTCCTCTTGGAGAAAGGTTGATGCTACGGAGAACTGGCCCTCTCGTAGAAGATGCATGGCTATGGCCCGGTTAATAAGTTCGGGATGGTCAGCCATGGCATCTGTTTCCATGGGAAGCTCTCGATGGGGAAGGGCCTGAAACATTAATCAGCCTCAATTTCATAAAGACATAGGCACCGAATTCTGGTGGCAAGGCCTCTAAGAGAAACTCACCCTGTCCAGGGCCTTGCCGAAGCCCCTCTGCGCCTTGGTCACATCTTTCAAGTCATCCGTTATGGCTTCAAAGCGAGCCTTGACTGGGTTTTGCAAGGTTGTCATGGCCATGCTAATCTTGTGGGCATCGTCATCTTTCGGCAGTGTTAGTTGTCTCTGTGCACCATGAGATCCCGGGCGACTGGACCCGAGGGTTCAAGTTTCGTACCACCAGCCACTTGCTCCCGTGCTGTCGTGAGCAAATCAATTATCGAGTCGACATCGTTTATAGCTGCGTTGAGATTAGACTTGCGCATGCGAGCTAGCTCTGCTAACAGCGGCCCGAAGGGCGACGAAGGCATGTCGTCCTCGGTTCCAGCCATGGCTGCGCGGCCTGGAAGCTCGATGCCAAGTGCAAGCGACGGACGGAAAGCAAAGGTGGTGGGATCGACGCCGGATGAGATGCAGTGTCGGCAACGGTCTTGCCGGGGAGCGAGGGGTTAGCTGCTCGTTACGCAAGCAGAGGAAGCTTTCTCTTGGGTGATATGTCGATGGATCTATGAGGATGAAGCAGGCAGGTTGTAGCTTGTTGGGGGGTGCGTTGGTAACGGTCACGCCAGCTTGGACGGGTGCGGCAAGGTCTTATCGATAAGGTTCTCGATGGAAGTTGCAAGGCGGGCGGTGGGCGGAGGGCATTCGCGTTGGACTGCGCGGCAGACATGTAGCCATGGATATGGATGACCCGCAGCTCGACGACACGAGTAGGGAAGTGCAAAGGAGTTTTTCGAAATGGTATAATTCACGAGAGTATAAGAGAAAAAAAACTGGGTGGGTAAGGAAGACTTATTCAGGTGCCTATTTAGTAGCACTGTATTACTCTGTATTCGTATTTGAGTTCACTAATGAGGGGCATGGCCCGACCGCAACAGACTGCTTAAGTAAGTACCCAGGTACCCAAGTACCTGAGTGCTTTGTGAGTCTGGCAAGAAGAATATAAGCAAGTACCGAGTACCCAAGTACATAGAATGAGGAACCTTGATGCATGTGCCAGCTGCACAGCCCCGCTGCACGGCTGCACCAGCTGACGTCGCGACGCCGTGTCTCGGAAAGCTCTCAGCTTCCCGCACTCCGGTCCAGATGTGACATGTCTGATTCACTCCGCTCAACTTCTCGACGACTCTGCCAAACTGCATCACATGCCATTCGACACTTTGGCCACCGTTGTCCCCAGACTGCCCCCTTCAACCCGCTGATGCAGCGCAATCACCAAGCTCGCAAATGTCAAGAATCTAAAGTGCCGCCGGTCGGCCTCGTCCACCCGGGCGAACCTCGGGAAGCCCTCATTGCCAGCGCCGCAGCAGAACGTTGAGCCTCTTTTCGGCCGTTGGCTGGCAGACCATATGACATCACCAGGAGGCTTCCTGTTGCCTTTGCCTCAGGAGGGAGGACGCTTTCGACGAGACGGTGAACTTTCCTCCCCTCTCCCCAGGGGCGCAACACCTCTTAGTCCCCGCGAAAATCTCATGCAAAGTACAACTTCTCGGGCGCGAGACGGCCAGTCACGGACTTCCCAAGGCCTCCAGGTCCATCAACGCCGTTTGGTGCTGCCTGACCCTTTGGCTCTCCTGTAACATTTAACTCCTCCCGAAACTGCTCTGTCGGCTGTCTGTTGACGACAGGTTGTGCTGATACCATTCCGTCATGCAGGTTCATAGAAGAAGACCCGTGCGTAGTTGTTGTCGAACGACGATGTATCCTTTCTGGCTACGAGTTGTACGTGGTTGAGCAATGGGCATGCTCCCGCCAATCCCCGACATTGGCCATCACAACCTACACCGGAGATGAGAAACACTGTATAGTGGTTGCCATCGTCTCCATCCCAGAAGATCAAAATCTTTGGTCTCCGAGGCTACGGTTATACTTCAAAGCCGCTAATACAGATAATTCGCGTCCCAAAGAGACGGAGCTGGGGGAGATAATGATTACGAACTTGAGCAGCTTTCCCTCGGCTCTCACCGTAATTCCGGTCCCGGATGGAGATGTGCGGAAACACCGACAAGTCTTCTTTGTAAATGAAAACCTCAAACGACTAGGGTGTTCAGGACGGTCCGGTATGACCTTGACGGACCCAACCGAAGCAACACAGGCCAAGTTTCGCCAGCTTTACAAGACAAGCAGCCGCATCCCTATCCTGCAGTCTGTCGTCGAACTCATTAAGCTATGTCAGATTGCCCTCTACATGTTTGAGAAGTTGGAACACCAATACATCGACGGCTTACTATGCGATGTTACTGAAAAAGCCATCAGCAGCTGGTGGACAGAGGTCGGTGCTGAGCACTACAACTTTGAGCCTACCGACGGAGTTCTGGGCCCATCTACTGTGTCAGCATTGCTGGGCATGTTGATGGGCGCACGGAATCGACTGCACTGGTACGGTGCCCCAGTTTCGAAGGACGTGTTCGAGGTTGAGTCCACCAAGAGGGGTGTGGCTTACTTTCAGAAGCAGCAAAAGTTGGAAAAGACGCGCCGCCTTGACCGACAAACATTGTTCCGGTTGCATACCGCCACTGCTAAAGGTGCCGCTGCTGAAGGGTGGGGAGTGCAGAAAGCCGTCAAGTCTACAGTGACTGAAATCGGAGGCAAAAGGGGTGAGCTCGTCATGGACATGGTTTCGGGCAGAGACAAGGGTGGTCTAGCAGATATCGAAACCGTGGACATTGATAAGTTCGTCAGCTTGGCCTACGGAGATCGACCAAGGTGGCTTTGGCATGGGAAGACTCGAAGGTCTCTCGCTGACCCCTTTGGTAGTGGCGATCAAGATCTTAGTAGCTCATCCATCCAAGCCCCCGATACTACGCCAAAACGGACACATGCTTTGCCGCTCGACGAGGAGCTTGTGGCTCGGCGTAAAGAAGACAAGAATGCAGCGCCGTACACTACCCATCAACCCGCCCCCGTCGACAACATTGCAGATGCATCAGGCGACAGAGATACTGTCCGCAGGGGAGTCTTCAAGAGCGTGGCGGACAAGATGAGTGATGCTCGCTCTGGTTTCGGCCGCATCAAAGACGCCGTGGGTGGCAACCGAAGAGGTTACGCAAGCAAGTTGTCTATGCCTGCAAGGGAAGAATTCTCAGACGGGGCAAACGGAAGTACCCTGCTGCCGTCAGACTCACAAAACTCGGCCATGGCATCCAATCCTGCCATCACCCGCGTGTTCACGTGGAAGAACAAGCCAGAAGAGTATCTTGCAGCCATCAGGCGAGGTGACGACGTGCTGCCCGGTCAGAACGACGATGCCCAATACTCCGGCGCATCGGCAAGGGATATTAAACCCGACGAGAAATCTGGAGACGAGCTTCTGATCGCTGGGGATTGGGAAACAAACCTCAATCGCATCGGTTCCGACATTCGCAAAGACATAAGTCACAAGGGATCTCCAACCAGACAGTCTGTGGAAGACGACAGTGACTTCCGGGGGCCATTGCCACAGGAGGAACAAAGGTTATGCCGCAAGATAATTCCTGTTGCCCGGCGTCGCAGTTGCGGAATTGCTGACTTGGCCTCGAGGCATATCACAAATGAGAGTCGATGGGCACGCCGCATGTCCTTTGGTGACGCGGAAGAGGCGATTTTGACATGGGAGGAAGTCATCGACCTTGATGAGACGTCAGACTACCTCACTTGCGTTGAAGCACATGCAGAAGCTGCCAGTCATCTGAATCATGTCATTGAAGAAATTGTGAACGATGTCGGGCCTTGGGTCGAGGACAAGATCAAAGCAGTAGAATTCCTCAATGAACGATACGGCCAGGACAAGAAAGAGCTACAAGACTTATACCATAGGCTCGACGAAACTTGCCAACGAACTCGCCATGATTCAGACAAGCTCCTCAGTGAAGAACGTGAAAATCTGACCGAGAGCGTCAAGGAAATTGAAGTCCTTGTAGCGCGTCTGGAGTACGAGATCAACGGTCTGTCGCAAAAAGTTGCGGATGTCGAGGACAGCATCCAGAACTTTGAGCGGCAAGTAGACGATGTAGAGAAAAGAGCAGCAGAGTTAAAGGTGACGCTTGAAACAGAAAGCTGGCCTCACTGGTTTGTTCGGACACTTACGGGTATCGGGACTGGGCCCAACATCACACGCGAACCGCAATGACGCCTCCTCCTCCTCCTCCTTCTTCTTCTTCTTCTTCTTCTTCTTTCCTTTCCTTTTCCTTTTCTTTTTGGGCATTTTAGCATATTTTTCCCATCACATTCTTTTTCTTTTTGTTCTGCACGGCGCGGATTGTACCATATTCTGTTTCAAGCCGAGCATACCAGGGATACAAGGCGTTTCTCGAATTCGGAGAATAGATACCATCGCCATTGGTTTGCGGACGGGGGGGGGGATGTAGTCCCAAAGTCATGATACGTTTGATAGCATTGAGTAATTTACAATTCCTTTTTCTTTTAACAAATCGCAATGTGTCCAATTACCTTGGCATCAAGCACATGCCTTCTATACTCGTACACTGGCCGGGCTCCAGCTCCAGCTCCAGCTCCAGTCCGACGTCAGTGCCTCACCCGGGTCTTGGGTATCGTATCCTTCTCCCGTCCAGCGAATCCTCCCCCATATCCACGCGACCCGGGACGGCGCCCTCCTCCGCCAAGCAGCCTAGAACAGACCGCCGCCGCCGCCGGCCTGGGCTGCGCCGCCCATAGCCTGGCCCTGCTGCTGCATGATCTCACTAACCTTCATCGATGTGTCCAGGAACTTGGCCGTACACCGGTCCAGGCACACCGACTCTCCCTTGTTCAGCTCGCCCTCGCGGTAGTCGGTAGGGATACACTTTTTCTGGCATGTTTTCTGGAGACTGGTTTTCAGGGTCCCCAGTAGATGTCGTTAGCTTTGTGTCTTTTTATTTAGAGAAGGCCTCGACTCTCGAGCGGGCAAGAGGGCCGGCTTTTTGCGCACCGGTTATAAGTGTCTGCCATCATGCGCATCTCGCCTTCTACGGCGGCAATCTTCTGCTCCGACGAGGGCTGCTGGCGGCCGATTCCGAAGAAAGACATGTCTGTGGCGTGCGAGTCGGCGAGGGGGCGTCGTATTCTTTGGGAGTTGTGAGGAGACGAGCGGGCGGTGGGTTGGAACGGATGGACGGTGGGTGACGTGGAGATTGGCGTGAATCCTGGGTGTGAGGTGTGGAAGTGATGAAAACTTGGATGGAGTGCTTACGTTATGACGAGGTAGGTTATCGATAAGATGGAGGCCCGACGAGGTGCGGGTGGTTGGGTTTGCTTTTGCATGTACTACGTACGACTGACTGACTGACTGCCTGATGAAGGCGTGTTTAGATTTGAGAGGTGTTTGTAGGAACAGAGTGATTGGATGTAGTTATTCACTTCATTCTTTTTTTGCTACTTCACTTTTCAACAACTTACTTTGATTCTATTGTGCTGTGCTAATGTTCATGATGCTGGTCGTTGTGTCAGTCATCATAATGCCCCGTCGTGAATGGACGCACCACTTCAAATAAATGGTGACCCGTCTCTCTCTATTTGTCAAAGGTGACGTTCTTGGTCCTTGTCCACTCAGCGAGTCCCAGAGCGCCATTGAATCGTCCATATCCGCTGGATTTGACGCCGCCATGAGGTAATGAGCCCTCATCATGAACGCTCATGCTGTTGATGTGAACTGCACCAGTCTCCAATTCCGCGGCAAGACGCAGCCCTCTCCTCAGATCCCTAGTGAAGATAGCCGACGACAACCCATAATCCGTGTCGTTGGCGATACGGATGGCTTCTTCCTCCGAGTCAAACTCAATGACTGAAACAGTTGGTCCGAATGACTCCGTCTTGTAAATGTCCATCTCGGAAGTGACGCCGCTCACAATGATGGGCCGCAGCCTGTTGCTGCTTATTTCCTGGGCGTCGACATTGCCGTACAAGACGCTCGCTCCGCGCTCAGCAGCATTGGCCACGAGGCCCTTGTTCTTTAGGGCCGCAGCGGTGTTGATGAGAACGGGCGCTTCTTGATCGACAGGGAATGCATTCGCGACTGCCGCGGCGAGTTTCTGCTGGAAGGCATCGCTGATGGCCTTGTGCACCAGGATCTTCTCCGTGGACATGCAAACCTGACCACTGTTAATGAACGAGCCTACTGCGCATTCCTTTGCGGCTAGGTCCAAATCTGCGTCTTCCCAGATTATGGCTGGAGCTTTGCCACCAAGTTCCAAGACAACCGGCTTGAGATGATCCCCGGCGCATTTTGCAATGATTCGACCGACCACGGTACTGCCGGTGAAGTTGATCTTTTTGACGTGCGGATTGGCTATCAAGGAGGACGTAACGGCTGGAGCGTCGGCGACGTCGTGAACAATCATGTTCAACACGCCGTTTGGAAGCCCGGCTTTGTGAAACACGTCGACAATCGCCCGCATGGTCTTGGGGGCTAGCTCGGATGGCTTGAAGACGACGGTGTTTCCCGCAGCGATTGGGAAGGCGACCGACCTGGTACCGAGGATATACGGAGCATTCCTATGCTTTCGTGTGAGCGATTCACTCGTGTGCGACTAGTGCACCTTCAAGACTGGGCTGTGTCTCTTACCATGGCGCAATGGCCAAGACGACACCAAAAGGCTCGCGCATGACGATGGCACTTCTGTTGCGCTCCATTGTTGGTGGAAATGAGCCTTCGACGGTTGGGATGCGGCCGCCAACGTCCTTTAGGAGGGAAATCGTGGTATCGATGTTGAACTTGACCCAAGGCGGCGCAGCCCCAGTCTCGTCAGCCATGTATTCGATGAGTTGGTCGCGACGGCTCTCCATGATGGCGGCAGCTTTGAGAAAAACCTCTTGTCGCTCCTGAGGTGTCGTTTTGCGCCACGACTTGAGGGCCTCGGCGGCGGCATCGACAGCCCTTGCGGCGTCGGCTACGGAAGCACTACCGCATCTGTGAAGGACGTGATGCGTCTTTGGGGATTTGACGTCGAATGTCTTGTCCGGGTAGTAGTCCTGGCCGTTGATGGCCAGTGGCAACACATCAGTTGTCGCCATGACGTCTGGTCGCTGGGGGTATGAATGAAAGCAGACGAGTCATGTGGCGCTTGGCTATGCAGCTGAGGGCGTGGTGACCAGAGCAGGTTAGTTAGTATGTCGCCTTGTTGCGAGCTGGAGAGAAGCGCCCAGGAGCGCCCGGTTTATATTTTAGAGGCTGTACGGAGCATTCGGTATTGAATCAGACTCCAGAGGATCGGCAGCTACTAGTCTCGAGTTGCCCCGCATTGTGTCCCATGTGTGTAGATATTCTGCCGAGTGCCTGGATGACCAAAGATCCGAAATCTTGTTCCGATCGAATCGGATGCCAATCCCCGCCGATGGCTCTTGCGCCAATGGCGAGAAGTCCCGAAGGCACAGGCGCGCAGGACTGATGACTTGCGTGGTAAAAGATGGTACGTGATTCCGTAGATTTTGTTATATTACAGAATATCACATCATCCCGACAGACCGAGAGCAGACTGTGAGCTGCAGTCTGCAGGTGAGGCATCATGATGACTGATGATTCGAATATCGGCGCGCCCACTTGGATTACTAATCAGCTGAACAAGACTCGAGACGTTTTAATAAGAAGCAAGCAGCAGCCATGATTTCATCCGAAACGCTGCAGGGCGTCGGGCTCGAGTAACGGCTGGGGGACAGCACAAGTGTTGATACGAAGCAGCCCTGAATTTTCAGTAAGCAATCCGGACTTGACACCACGCAGAAGCTTGAATTGGACCGGGCTCACCAACTTGGGGCTGGTCTGCTGGAAGGGCAAACTGCACCTCGGATTTGATCCTCGATGACTCGACGTAAGTTGAAGGCATGGGAGCTGGTTTTAAACTTCTCTTTTGCGGCGGGCGAGACAATTTTGCCTCGTTCATTGTTCAAGCAGGCTCGCGGGCAGCAACGACGCGGAACGCGGGCCCCAAGAGCGGCGCCGTGTTCGCTGCAATACACGCGTGCTGACTGCGCAGATGGAATACCGATTTTTTCTTTTTACTTACTTGGTTAGATGTACCGAGTCATACAGAGCTGGACGTCCAAGGCTGCTCACCAACCCCATCGAGCAACGACCGCAGGAGACAGGGCGACAAGGCAGAGCCTCACGATCAAAAGCAGATCCCTGGAGGTCCTCTCTGAGACAGCGGACAGACGTGAAGACCGGTCAGGCAGTACTGCAGCAGGCGATCGATGGCGAGGTGACTCTGTGCGTTGAACAATGAGGAGGCGGCCGGGGACGGGCATCGAAACGAGGCAAGAACGAGACCCGGTGACTGACTTGCGAGGTTGTGATTGGCCGCCTGCCAAGAGACACGCACTCGCACACACATACACACACACAAACAAAATAAAAAAAGAAAGTCGGATTGGCAGCGCAAGGCAATACGTACTGGACAACAGCCTGGACAGGCCCCCAAAAGATTGTCACGGTGAAGAAACGTGGAGACGGATGCAGAGTCGCTGCACTGCACGGATTGCACAAAGCCCACTGGTCCGTGGGTTTTGCTGCTTGCTCGCTCGCCAGAAAACGCACGAATTGCGAATCGCACTGCACATCTTTCCTCTCCTCCCTCTGCATTATGACCTTGATAACCAATTGCCCATGGCCACCCACGCCCGCCAATTCTTACTCTACTGTTTGTTGGAGGTATCAACCGGCGTAGTCGTAGGGCTCTTGCATCCTCAGATCCTCAGGCTGTCCTCGCCTCAGCTCGGCGGCGAAAGTCCGGTGACGGTCCCACCTTCCACAAGCGGGGATACGGGGTAAGCCAGTCATCATCTCAAGTCCTCCCTACTCCCTGCAATGCACTCCGTCGACGCCTCGTTCAGGTACTGGCTACATGCAAGGCGTGGTGGTTCCCCGAGCGCGCGTGGCACCCGTGACCCAGTCACCGACAGCCAGCCAATGAGAGAAGGCGGGAAGCAGTCGACAATGCCCCCTCCCCCCACCACGACGCAGCCACTTGCCCGGCTCCCACAGCCCGTGGCCAGCCAGCCACTCAGAGCCATTGCGAAGAAAAAGTTGCGACTTGGTGACTGGGCATTTTTTGGGCCAGTTTTCCTCCACCTTGAGTCGAATCCAAGCTTCTGCCTCATACATCGTCAAAGTCGCCTCCGCGTTCGGCCCCTCCTCGACGCTCTCGACGGCAGCATCAACAACCTCGTTCAATTCCTCCATTTGGTCTGTATATTGTCCTCGCTCAATACTCACCACGCACCCGCCTTGCCGCGCAACGCCATATCCGCCGCCTGTGCAACTACCCCGCCGCCGGGCGCCGCACCCATCCTTGGACCTTGGCCGTGGGCGGCAGCCTCCGTCTTCCGCCTCTCGCATTCCCACCGAGTTGTTGCTGGTCGAAACGGCCGCGGCTGTGACGCTGTCGCGCCTTCGCAGGTGCATGGACGGCTCTCCAATTGTTGCCCGCGGAGGGGCGTCACTCAGTCCAACGAGCCCGGCTAGCTCTCGTCACGGCAATGGCGGTCCCAAGAGAAAGCGAAGCGGACCCGTCACCCACGAGAGCAGTCCCGGCAGCGCTCTGGAAGACGATCACGGTGACCATGGCGATCACGATAAGAAACGCCAGCCTGGCGTAAAGAGAGCTTGCAATGAATGCCGGCAACAGAAGGTGAGTGCGTCGGGGATCATACACGGCAGCCGCCCCTGATTCCGTCAGGCTTTGCTCGGTATCGACTAACACGGACGTTTTGTTGGGGGGCCAAAGCTGCGGTGCGACGTTGTGCAAGAACCATTCCAGAGTTGCTCGCGGTGCAACCGTCTGAAGCTCGAATGCAAGATCCAGTCCAACTTTAAACGAATTGGCAAGCGTTCCAAGCACGCCGAGATGGAAAAGGAGATTGAGCGTTTGCGGCGTAACGTTGCCCGAGCAAAAGCCCAAGGCTTCACCGTGGAAGGCGGCGACGACGACGACTTGAATTCCCCCGCGGCCCCCAGCGCTGCCCCCTACACCCACACTCGTAACCCGTCCCTGATGGGTTCAGACGAGGCCGTTTCTTCCCTCCTTCATCTCAAGAGGGGAGGCGCATACGCCCTGCCGCATTACTCGTACGAGCTAGAGGGCGTTCGACTGACCGATGACAATGTCACCCACCTGTTCAACGAGTTTTTCGCCTACTACCACCCGTTTCTGCCGTTTCTTAACCCCCAACAGCCTCCGGACCAGTACAACCAGCAGCACCCGTTGCTGTTCTGGTCCATCATCGCGGTTGCGGCCCGGCGCTTTAGCCCGCATGACTGCGCCAATCTTCTCACCAATCTGTCGGGTCCAATGACTCGGTTCTTATGGACCACAATCGGCGAGGTGCCCAGCAACTACCATGTGGTCAAGGCCATGTGCCTGCTCTGTACCTGGCCTCTGCCCACCAGCACTACCACGTCGGATCCTACTCATATTCTCTGTGGTGTCATGATGAAGACGGCAACTGGCATTGGGCTGCACCGGCCGAATCACATTAGGGATTTTTCGAGGGTGTCGGTCGAACTCAACAAGGAGCAGTTGGCGGATCGTGTCACCACTTGGGCAGTATGTAATATCGTGGCTCAGAACGTGGGAACGGGATACGGGCAGCCAGCATCCACCCTGTATGACTGGACCCTGGCCCTTCGGCCTGGTGACGATCCAGCTCTACACCTTTCGACCGATCTCGAAGCCCGACTGCAAATCGAGCGATTCTGCGACAAGGTGTCCAAGGAGATGTACAGCAATGCCAGCGATCCGAGAGGTGTTGCTGGCGATGAACATCGCGCCATGCTGATGCGAGTCTATCGTCGAGACTACGGCGAGCTTCAAGCTTCCGTCATGTCCCAGCAGCTTGGACCCATCGTCAATCTGCATCTTCGAGCCGCCGCACTTCACATGAGACTGGCTGGCTTCTTCGACTCCAGCAAGACTCCGGGTTACATGGATGATCTCATGGGTCTTTGGAGGGCGGCGTCTAGTTTTCTCGATGAGCTCCTCGAAGTCGACAAGGTCACTTCCCCGCGGGACAGCGTACGCGGAACAATTCTGCTGTATGCGACCAACTACTTGCAACAGATGCTTGTCGCGGCTGGCTTCACTCTGCTGAAGCTGATGAGATCGTCTTTCTGCAAGACAATCGATTTTGCTCGCGGCCGAACATTATTCCACCATTCCGTCAAAGCTATCCGGGGGACCAGCGTGGTTCACAATGATCTGCAATGGCGCTTGGCTGAACTGATGGTGCAGATGTGGGAAGGGGCTCGTCTCGACAGCCAAAACCACGCATACGACCCAGATGACGATACGGCCGTGCAAATGGACGACAGCCTACAGCTCAAAGTCCGCTGCCGTCACAGCATGAGTCTGGTGTTTGATTCGGTCTGGCGGTGGAGAGAAGAGTACCAAGCTCAAGGGCGAGGAAGCCTGGAGAGTAAGTGCTACCCAGGCAAGTTTCACGAGGGCCCCCGACGTTCCCATGCACACGATTGCTGACAATGGCCTCACAGATACGAAGCACCCTACGCACCCAGAATCAGCCAACGAGTCGTCGGCCTCATCCTCGCAGCTCGACAACACCCTTATGCCGTCCCATCCTCTCTCTGCGTCAAGCATGCTGACCACCAACGGGGCCTTGACACCCGGCGCTGCCGGCCTATCGGCGGCCGCGGCCGCTCCGAGTACTATAATTGCCGGCCTGCCCTACGAAACGAATTACGACTTTTTTGATCCTCAACATTGGATGCTGGACGGTTTGGTCGATCTCAATTACGGTGGCTTTGTGCCTCCTCTCGAAGGCGCATAGGAGGCACGCACTGAAGAGAAAGCAGCGGGCTCATTACGCCCGAGTCTAGCTTGACTCGGGGGTTGCTCCAAGCCTTGCCCTCGCCTTTACCACTTGGCTTATTTGCTCGCCATGTCACTCAGCTTGCTCTATCAGCAGCAGCAGCAGCAGCAGCAGCAGCAGCAGTACTGGTGACTTCATAATCCACCGGCGGCACTGCAGTGGTTTCTCATATTCCTCCATTGTCACCGCCGAAATTGACTCGTTGACGCAGTGAACGCTGCATCACAAAGCGTAGCCATTGCCGTCAAAGAATTCGGGGAAAGCATTACATACATGTGCAATAAGGGGATTCGATGTTTTTTGCCTTTTCTTTGTGGTCCAGTTTTCTCCCATTTCTTAGTCATTGGCCCTATTTTGGGATGCAAGTTGAGGAGCGAGGCGTAAGGATTTCTTTCCGCACATGCCATGGCAAAGATTGTGCCTGCGAGTCTTTTTCTTTTCTCTCTTCTCTCTCTCTCTCTCTCTCTCTCTCCACATCACATCTTCTGCTTTCTTGGTCTCATATTCCTCGGCGGCACAGGTCGTATCAGGTTGAAAACCCACCGGTCGGGCGGGAACCTAGTGTAGATGCCGTACTTGGTTCCGCATTCCTGCTAGGAAACCCAAAAGGGGACAGAGGCACGAGTTGCTCTGCGTAGAAGCGTGCCCTAGATTGCTGTTGTGGGTGAAGGCTTTGTAGTTTGTCTTTTTTGGTGTTCCCATGCTCCTCCAGTCTTCCGTAGGCGGGAGCGAGAGATGCATCCTTTTCGGTGCTGGTCTCACGGGGTCTAAACCTATTGAAGTTGGCATATGGCATGGTGAAAAGGAAGGGAGCCGGCCGGGCGATGATCCCTTGTTGAATTACGTAGCTATCATGACTTTCAAACCGAGATGCATCTTTCGTAATGTAATGTGACGGACGGCGAGCTTGAGCTTGAGCTTGAGCTTGAGCTAATGCCGACGGCATGTATGGATGGGCATCGGGGAGGAGAGGAGCACAGGACCGTGTTGTGTCCATTTTTTGGCTGAAATGTATGTATGCATTGTTGGTCTTGGGACTTTGTCCGTCTGGAACTACGAGCTCCGTCACGTCGCTAGCTCGAGAACCGCCTGGGTGAAACGAAACATGTCCACGAGCAAGGGCTTACATTCTCGGTGCTTTGTTCACGTCGGCCCTGCGAGGAGGGCAGTCGGCACGGGGTTTACGAGACGCTTCGATCAGTCAAACTGTTCCGTGCCACGGCCGCAGCGATCCCTCGCTGCACGCCTTCTCGTGTCCCGTACGCGCAATGCCGCAAATGACTCCGAGTAGAGCTCGTCTTCTAAAGTGTTGTATGCTACGGCGGGCGGGAGATGTACCTCCTCGATGTTGCGCATCGCGGAGCGAGGCTCGTTTGTATTACAGGTGCCTGCCGCATGTCTCTCGCCTTGGGGGCGTTTTCCTGCTCCCATGTCGGACGAGATATCTGCGATGACAAGCGAACTCGCGCCCTCACCGGCAGCATACGCCGGCGAATCGGGAAACTGCCGCCAGAGGAAGAGTACGGGGCAACTGTGCAGAGTCTGCCCGTCATGTCCCGGGAATCGTGCTCTTGCCAATATTCTCTCCGGGAGAAGGCGGCGGAGTGATACCATAGCTGGCTGAAGCTTTGGACATGGGGAGAGAAATTGGTGACACGACGCGTTCGAAATGCAGAGGGGGCAGGCAGGCAGGGTGGTTGAACGAGCGGGCGAGCGGGCGAGATGGGCCAAAGGACATGTTGCCTGGGAGAGACGGGGATGATGGAGTAGTCAGACTCCAAAAGGAAAATACTGTCCGGGCAGATAACAAGGAGTGCGGGGGAGCAGACTGTCGGCTTCGAGGCCGGTGAATACCATCAACGGCTGTCTCAAGCTCGAGCAGCGGTCAAGGAGCTCGGTGCCCAGTGCGCCAGAACTAGCAGGCCCAGGTATTTGGAAGACAGTCCTGCCTGCTCAGACCAGTTCTCGCAAACTTGACTCTTTTCTGGGCCACCCGAGGGGCGAGCAGGCAAGCACCAAGGCAAGGAGGAAGAAGCAAAAAGGGAGAAAGATGGCCATCGTGTCCGGTCCTCGTAGGGGGGCGAAGGGAAAGGTCCAGCATGCTGCTCAAAAAGTGCCAGTACGACATCCTCGGCCCAGCTTGACAGGACATGACTCCGTAACTGGTGACGATACGTACGTACAAGGCCCTATTTACGTCTGTACATGTTAACGGCGGTCCAGCCGGCACGGCACGTCTTTGGTTTCGGCCGAATAGCCCTTGCCTCTGTTTCAGCGACGCACGCCCCTACTGATCACGCGGCCGTCACGATGTGGATTTGCCTTCAAAGCGCGCGGGGGGAGGCATCCGGTCGCATCATCTGGCTTCGTAGAAAGGGAGACCAACGAGAAATCGTAACCGGGCTTGGGAGTTCCAGGTTGCCAAAGTCGACCAGGTGTTTCTCGGGGCAGCACCACTGTGGACCCCTTTATTCTTTTTCTTTATTTTCTTTTGAACAGGTGTCACGGGGTTGACGAACTGGGCATTCCGTATGGATGGATGATAAAGAAACAGAGGAGGGGGAGTGTTTTTAGATCGGAATGGAGGCATTTGAGCTTTGTACAGAGTACATGGTCGTGGCACTGTTATCGGTGGAGGCATCATTTGCACCCAACGAGCCGTTTTCTTCCAATGCTTTCTTGCATCTTGTCAAATACGGCGTAGTGGTGAATCGTATCCTGGCAACGGACAGGCTGTTCTGGCCAAAGAAGTGCCGTCACAGGCGAGCAGAAGGACAGACACAGGGACACACGGACGCATCCCCAACCGGTGGCGTGAATGTATGTGTGGATAGTCGTGACGAATTGAAGGCTCCTCAACTCGAGATCGAGACCGCTACTGCATTAGCGATGAAGCACTGCGATGCCGGCGGAGAGGGACAAAAGAAAATTCGGACAAGAGTGAAATTACATCTCGCCAGTCGTCGTTTCATATCGTGACTGGTTCCTGGGTAAGAAAAGCTGTCCGTCTGTCTTGCCGGAAACGGAACCCTGGCTCCTTTTGCTAATCATCAGCTTGTTCCGGGCCAGTCAAGGCACTGTGAGAAGGTGCCATCATTCTCTGTTGACGGAGACGGATGACAAATTATGTACTTCGCCTCTGATAGAAACCCATGGTGAGATGCCAAACCTTTGACCAAGACGGCGCAAACAATCGTGCCGACAGCATTGGCTTGAAAGGAGGCTCTGATGTTGTATAAGTTCGGGCGACGAAATGTCGACTGAGCGTTGGTTCTCGACATGTTCCTGCATTTTAGGAGGCATGGTATATCCCGTCTTATCCTGTCGCATCCTGTATCCTGTATCCTGTATCCTGTATCCTGTATCCTGTATCCTGTATCCTGTATCCTGTATCCTGTATCCTGTATCCTCCTGTATGCGCACGCCCGTCTGTGGACTGTCATGTTCCCAGATTCCCCTGATTTCTACTCCGTATGTGCAGCATTTTCGTTTGGGGGCCCAGCATGCTGACTGTGTTGGACGTTGCTGCTTATACTCCAGAGATCTGACGCCGGCGGACGAGCGTGACTAGGAAACGAGGATTTGTACCATTGACGCCATCAGACCCAACGCTGACACTATAGTCATGCAGCAGCAAGTCGACTCAACTAATGAGTGTGCAGACGGGGCGAGCCGCTCGGCAATTGTTTACATCGCTGTTCTTTCTTTGCGTCGCCCTCGGCAGCCAACAGGGCGGCATCGACCTAGGGCTGACGGTGACGGAGATGATGTGCCTGTTCCTGGATCTCGTCCAGAGTCCAGAAAGCCCGCATGATCGAGGTACCTGGCAGTACTTTCAACAACAGCAAGTTTTGGTTTTGCGATGTAGAAGCAGGGTATCAAGGGGTCTGTCTGCACAGCCGTCCGAGGCATCGCGACTTGGATCCGGCCACCCTGCCGACTTGGCCGCATGGTTACGGTCCCCAAACTCTCCAGACGCGTCTCACGTGTATGCCGTAGGATGAAAAGCCTACTCTGAAAGCCTGTTAGTCGTGGTCTGCGTTGCCGATGAGTCGCCTCTGTAACCTTTTCCATCTCCCGGTCCTGGCAGCAGAAGCAAAGCCGAGTTCTGTGGCTCCCGTGCCCGCGGCAAAGGGGAGCCTTGGCCTGCGATGCCTTCCTGTTGGGTACAGTTTCTCGCCCGGTAATCGTGTATCCTACTTGATCCGACGATCCGGACACGTTCCCACCGAGGCACTTTTCGCCCAAGCCTCGGCTCTTGGTCGTGAGCACACACCCTCTCCTCCCTCCAGGAGTACGTATTTGGCACGGCATCAAGAGCCACTGACGACAGTTTGCCAATGCATTGCAGTCCGGCTTTCTGTCCATTGGTCTGCTCAAGCTCACATCGAGGTATTGACTATGGAGGCTTGGGAGGGTACATGACCACGCCGGGTTTGGGAGAGCCAGCAAGCACCCACCGCTTTTAGTTCCAAGGACCAGAGACGTTCACGGCCAACAGATGTCTGCCATTTCCCGCACAGAATGGTCACAACTCACGCTGCTGGCTCGTCACACAAGCACGCTCCCGGACTCAACTGCGTCATGTAGCAGGTATCACATGGGAGTGACATGACTTGTTCCCCGCCCCCGGGGCCAAAGTCATCTAGACCGAGTTCGGACAATCGAAAGTTGGGCTTCGGGACTGAGCTTTCCGACTCAAAATTTAGAAGATATCTGGAGGTGATTGAGTTTGTAATATTGTCAGATAGCTACTCCGTATGCAGCTAAGCCTGAGCGCGTTGCGGCGGAGAAAATCGTTATCAAGGCTGCCGGGCAGGCTTCTGAGAATATTGGACTGACGTACTGCAAGGTCGAACTCATACTTGTTCATGGTGCCCGTCTGGACGAACTATGACAGTATGAGTTGACTGTCCAAACGGCCAATTTGTCTGCTTTCATCGCCATTGAGAGGATTT